GGCGGAGTAGGGGCCGCGAGGGCGGCGGAGTAGGGGCCGCGAGGGCGGCGGATCGGGGCCGCGAGGGCGGCGGATCGGGGCCGCGAGGGCGGCGGAGTAGGGGCCGCGAGGGCGGCGGATCAGGGGCCGCGAAGGGCGGCGGATCGGGGCCGCGAGGGCGGCGGAGCGGGGCCGCGAGGGCGGCGGATCGGGGCCGCGAGGGCGGCGGATCGGGGCCGCGAGGGCGGCGGAGTAGGGGCCGCGAAGGGCGGCGGAGTAGGGGGGGGGGGGGGGGGCGCGAGGGCGGCGGATCGGGGCCGCGAAGGGAGGCGGCCGGCGCCGCGAGGGTGGGGCCGCGGGGTCGCTAGGGTAGGGCGACAGAGCCGCGAGGGCGGCTCGAAGGGGCCGCGAGGGCGGCGCGAAGGGGCCGCTAGGGCGGCGCGAGAGAGGGGAGCGCGACTCGGGCAGGGGCTGAGTGCGCTCCGGGCAGGAAAAAAAAATGGTGGGCCCTAGGAACAGTTCCCACGAGGGAACCTGCTCGATACCATGATAAGAAACAAGGAATGAATGAACTATGAATGAATTGGGTACAAGTACTAACCCTAATTGGGTTGTACCCCTTATGGGTTACCCCACTATAGCCTACACAATATGCATGAGCTATAATATTCTGACATTGAATTTTGGAACGATGAGGTTTGCGTTGACTTTTCTCAGGTCGAGGATGAGCCTGCATTTTTCTCTCTGCTCGACCACGTTGAGTGGGCTTATGCACGTAAGCTCGCTTGCGGCTGTCTCGACTGCAGCTCCGGTCTCTGTGAGTTCTTGGATGGTAGTACGTGTGAACGTAGCATGCGCATATGTACCAGCGTGGTTACGCTCCCGGAAGGCCTGTGGTGGACAGTGGCTCCATGGAAGCCAGTAACCGTTGGCGATTATGGATAGGACGAGGCTGCAAGGGCACCATGAGCTCCACCACGCAAAGGTCGAGCGAAGCCGACCGCACATCCGTGTGACGGTTTTGTCCGTGACGGCGAATTCGTACGGGCCATCGTCGCGAGGCACCTCGTATTGATGTGCTCCTGTATGTACGACAAGGAAATGAACGGGACCAATCAAGTTACACGCCTTAATTAGTGAATGCGTGTGACATACACATGCATGCGCGAAAGATGAACCGTCAACAGTGAGAACCCTACGGACGGTTTGTCATCATTCCATATAGGGCGTCCGATCGCACCTTTGCAAACTCTTTCCCATACTCTCTCCTGTCCCCTCCCCTCTTTTTTTTTTTTTTTTTTTTTTTTTTTTTACCTTGCTGTAGGATTGATGCTTGGGACCATGATCATGCTTCCCTCTTGATCGCTCTCTCTCTGTCTCTCTCCCTCTCTCTCTCTCTCTCTCTCTCTCTCTCTCTCTCTCTCTCTCTCTCTCACTCACTCTCGCTCTCTCTCTCTCCCTCTCTTTTTGTGTGTGTTTTCATTATTGTTAGAGCATTTGCATGCTTCGCTTGCCATGGGCTTGTGCCTTTCCGCGCGTGCCTTCACTTGGGCTAGGCGACCTCGCTATGCCCCCCCTCTCTCGCCCTTGTTGGTTGTCCAAAAGTTGAACCACAGCTGCCCATCCTTGCAATGCATGGTGGCGGTTTGAGGAACGTGCGTACTCTCATTTTCTCCCTCTCCCCTTCTCCTCCTCGCGTTTCGCCCCCACCCTTTTGTTTCTTTTTTTTTTTCTTTTTTTTATCCTTCACAAACCAGAGGGGGCCTTAAATAAAATCCCTATCTCTCATGGTCGTACATTATCATGCCTACTAGCATGCTTCTCATCCCATCAATTGGGGCATACGGGGGACCGAGAGGCATTCTTCCTCTTCCCCAAAGCTAGGCCTACGGCCATACTTTATTACCCTATCCTAGGGGACCGAGAGGCATTCTTCCTCTTCCCCAAAGCTAGGCCTATGGCCAAATTCTACCACCCTATCCTAGGGCTGGCCACGTCTACCGCAAGCCCTACTAGGCTGCCCACGGTCTAAGCACTCAAGAGTGCACCGTGCATCGCGCCTAGTGGCGCGCTTCACCATAGCCCGACCCCTACACAACCGGTGCGGGTCCTTGGCCCCCATGCCCATTCCGAGGGCAGGCATTGGCGACGTGGCCAGGCTGGCCGCAGCGGAAACACGAACCACGAAAGCCTTGGAAGTTGCCCGAGGTTGGAGGGCCACGTTTTGGAGCGAACGCCGTGGCGCCGTGGTTTCCACCACGGTGGGAGCGAGCGTGAGCGCTCGCCGCTCGGTCCATGGCAGCCACGTCTGCGACGGCTTGCTTGAACGGCCGTGAGGTGAGAAGACTTTTCTGCAGGTACATTTTGTAGCGCTTGGCCACGCGGTCGTCGGTTGCGTCTTCGACTTGAAACATGTCGAAGCGCGCGGAAATGTCGTCGAGGGCGGTGACGACCATTTCGAGTCCGCCCGCCAAGTCGCCGTGCTGCAGCTTGTACTCTGCGTGTTTCAGGTAAGCCCGCATGTCCTCCAGAATTTCCGCTTTCGCCCGCACGTGCTCGTCGTTGAACGTCGCCGCCGACCAAGTGGTGTTAGTAGTAGAGGGGAGGGGGGGAAGATGCTCCATGGAATTAAAATTTTTGGTATGGACCGGAGCCTCACCATCATCGTCGTCGGAGCCGTCGGTGTCGTTGTCGGCCGCTGGCGCAGGTGGGATGCTGGCCGGTGCTTCCTTGTCGTGCCGGTTCGCCGTTGTTCCTTGCGCTCCTTTTTCTCCTTTTGCGTTTTCCTTTTAGCAGATGCAGAGTCCGCAGGTTGTGCGATTTCCGTAGCTGTAACGCTGGCGGGCTGTTGCTGTAACAGGGACAGAAGCGCGGCGACCTGGTCCGGAGTCAACGCGTTGGTCAACGCCGGGGTCGTCGCGTCAGAGGAAGTCGCTGTTTGGCGCCTCTGGCGCTGACGCGACGGTCCAGCCACAGGCGCCGGCGTGTGCTCCGCGTCAGGCGCGTGTGGCGCCACAGGTGCTGCAGGTGCCGCCGTCGCCACTTGCGCCACACGCGCCTCAGGCGCCACAGGCGCCACAGGCGCCACAGGGGCCGAGGGGTGCTGCTGCTGGGGCGGGCTCGAGTTTTTGTTGACCTCGAGCCCGCCCAACAGCATGTCCACGGCAGTTGGGGCGGGCGATCCTTCCTCTGCCCGCCGCTTGTTACGGCGATCGCCGGTCATTTCTCGGGCGTTACGATCGGTGTCGGAACTCGGCGCAGACGAATCGCCGCGGTTAAGTGCCGGCGTAGACACCATTGTAGAGCGGTTGTGGTTGAAAATGTCTTGCAGAAGTGTTGAGGGTGACTGGCCTCTGGGAAGAGTGCGAGTTCTAGCCAGCTTGGACGGGGAAAAGAACTACTAGAACGGAAATGTTGATTGAGCCGTTGGAAAACGAGAAACGTGGGTGGAGGGAATGAACTCCAACCCACGGTTTTTGTAGTTGGAGAAGGGCGTTTAGCGCGCTTCGACGCTGCCAAATATTCGGTACAGGCAGCTTCGCTTTCACAATACACAATTTTGAAAAACATCAGTGTGTTTAAAAATTATAATGTTTAACTACCGTACATGCCAGTTACACAAAGGAGGAAGGGCTTAGGCGTGTCATTTGGAGTTCAATCCTGATCGAAACCCTACCCATACGCAAGGATGTGTATTGAAACCGCTCTGAAATGCAGATTATCTTATTCCACCGCAATGAAGTGAACTCATGTGACATGGTCACATGGTACATTGAAACATGAGGATATGACCGTTATAGATATAAGCAAACGAGATGTGGTAGTAATTTCATCTATAACGAGGTATTCCATGACGTCTCTATACCGACGCAGATCGAAGTTCGTGCATATTGCACCCTCCCTCAATCCCAACCTGTGTTATCGCGACTCGTTGAATCTGACCCTGAGAAAGGGCCCAATTCTTCCTGCCCGCATTGTAGGTCTGGTTCAGACAGGCTTTTGCTCAGAAGTCTTAGTTCTTGCTGCCCCTATAACTGCCCGTGGTGCAATTCTGACAAGCACACAAGAAGAATGTCAACTGGATGGTTGAAAATGACTGCTAGGTGGAAATTTTGTAGTATAGCTCGTATAAGAGCTGCCCGTTTTACAGTTCGTCCAATCTTCTGATGGGAAACCAGCCCGACATACCAAAGCAGGGTGACCCTGTGCCACGTGCCAGGTGGGATGATTTGTGGAGGCCGAGCCGAGACGCATCTCGAATGAGTGGTGTCAATGTGCGCGCCTCGTCATCATGGATTTGGAAAAGAAATTGCACGCATCTGCATTGCATCCCAAATTCCAGCCCTTCGACAGAGTAACTATTTGTTGCCTCGCATCTCTTCTCTCGAAATCGCCACCACAAAGCACCCCCACACAACCACTACTGTATGAGCAGGCTCAACCAGCAGTCACACCACTCCCGTAAGCTGCTATAAAGTTGAGACGACTGACGTTGAGCAAAAGGATTTTCATGTAAGTTGACGCCAGAGCACGATCGCTCGTGCAAAATTGGTCGCGAAAATAGCACACAGTGAAGGTGTGCACGTCCCTGGGCTTTCTCTTATATCTAAGACGTCGCGAGTATGGCGCCCCGTTCTATTGCCCTTCTCGCCTTCCTTGGGCTACTTGTCCTCGCTCACGCCCAGAAAGCTCCAGGCAGGAACAGGCGCGAAAGTCCATTTGATCAGTCATGGGATTGGGAGCCCCTGATTTCGAAACCATCTGACGAGTTTGGCGAAGGCGAGCCCATTCACGAAATTGACGAATCATGGGACTGGGCTGTGACGAATCTCCAGGCAGCGGACGAGTTTGGCGAAGGTGAACCTGTTCACGAAACCGACGAGTCATGGGAGTTCGGCGAGTCGTCGTCCGACGCATTTGGCGAAGGCGAGCCTGTGCACGAAACTGACGAGTCTTGGGACTTTGGCGAAATCTCTGGTAACTCCTTTGGCGAAGGTTCACCAATTCATCAGACCGATGAGATGTGGGGATTCGACGACGGGGTCGCTGGCGACTCCTTCGGCGACGGGGAGCCGATGCACGAGATAGACGACGCGTGGGCGATTGGCGAGCCCGTCGTGAACGACGAATTTGGCGAAGGCGAACCTCGGTCGCAGCTGGGTTCGTCGCAATGCACGAAGTCTTCGCTGCCGGGCTACAGCTGCTCCGCTGAACTCAAGGGCAAAGAGTAGGTTTCTCGCGTTTATATCTTCTTGTAACGAGATCACTTAGAAGGGCTAGAATCAGGGAAGGCATCGAAATGCCTCTAAAAGTCTGCGCGCTTTGAACTTAGTTCCAACAATCCACGCCCCTTCCATCCCGCATACATTCAGTCTGTATCATCTCCATCCTCACGTTGAAGTTCGGCACTTCTCAGGAAGACACTGGTATCCCGTTGCACTGATTTGCCTCGTCATCGCCTGCGTCATTGCCACATGCGTTTCATATTTGTATTCGCCCCCCGTGTGTCCCCTGTCCCCATCCTCCGATGCAATCACATCAGTTACATCCTCCACTGGACCGTCGGCATCAAGTCCGTCTCTTACGCCGCCGAAGTCGCAACCACCGGCTGGGTCGCCCTCGGCTGGTCCAAGGACGGCAACATGATCGGCAGCGACGCAGCTATTGGCAATCTGCCTCCTGGCACCATTACTGACACCGCGAACGGCAACCCGCCCCCCATTGGTGCTTACTACATTCGCGCGAAGAACGCGGCGGACATTGTGCCGAACCCGCGTCTCGGACTGTCGTTGACTGCTGTGACAACTCGCGACGGCAAGACCATTGTCGAGTAAGTCCGGAAAATGGTTCAGTATGGGCCATTTTAGTTACGAAGGTGCGAGGAATTAGAGTATCGCCAACAATTCAGAAGCCAAGACTGCCTGCGTTTTCGTTATATAATGATATTGGTTCAAATAGTTATGCCGGTTGGCTCTCTCAACCTTTTCTGCCTTTTTCCTGCAATCGTTTCACTCCCCGTGTGCAGATTTGAGAGGGAATTGGCTTCAGGCAACGTCCCCCTATTTCTAGATGCTTCTGCTAATGTCATCTTCGCTTACTCCGACTCAAATTCAAAGGAACTGAAATATCACGGTGCCAACAGGTGTGCTATTCTTCCGCCTACCTCCCCTTTTTGTCTCCCTACTCTTTCTCGGGAAACGCAACCTGCTTTCAAGAATGTATTTCCTGATTATTTGCTGGGCTTTGTGGTTGCAGGGGTTCTGCGAGGGTTGGATACAATAATGGCACAACTACAATTACCACCACTCCAGTTCCCACCACAACCTACGGAAACTCCGCGTCTTTTATCGCACACGGTTTCTTCATGACGTTCGCGTTCGCTATCCTGATGCCATCTGCCATCATTATAGCGCGTATGTTCCTCGCAGCAGACCAAATTTCGGACCCGCTACTGTACAGCACAACCGGCGATGCGAACGGTTTGGCTGCTGGGCTGACCGCGAGCCTTTCCGAGCAGGACGAAGCGCGAAGGGCCCTGTGGTTCAAGGCGCACATGATCCTGCAAATCGTAGCCGTTGTTCTCGTTTTCACAGGCGCGGTCATTGCTCTGGTGACCAGTGGCCCTCGCGGGTTGGATTACCTTCACGGGCAGCTGGGGCTTGCGATTTTCATCATTGTGCTAGTGCTCCCCATTGGAGGATTCGTGAAGCCTTCGCGAAACTCCAGTTACCGTGTGTTCTGGCGTTTTGGTCACTGGTTTGTGGGGATTGTCGCGGTGGTGCTGGGCTGGGTGAACGTGTTCCTCGGCCTCGACCGCTACACTACAATGTTCTCTGGAAACCAGAAGGTGAGACCATGTAACATCATTACCATATCAATCCTCCTCACACCCACCCCATGTCCTTCTTACCACATCGCGAGACCTGTGTCTGCCCCCTGTATCTCCCCTCTGTGTCTCCCCTCCCCCCACACCACACGATGTCTTACACGATGTTATGCACAACTATTTTCCAGTATCGTGCTTTGCTCCTTCAGAAGAGGCGTTTCAACATATCAACAACTCACATAGAATCTCATCTGTTCCTCTCACCTTCCATTCCAGGCGTACCTGATTATTATCGGGATTGCCATCAGCGCGTTCGGGCTGTTCTACATTGCACTTGTGATTCGCGATTACCTCTTCCGATCCAAGTCTGAGGACAACCAGTTCAAGGCCTCTGCAGCCGCTCCTGCGAACGGTGCAGGCGATGTGTAGAGTCTTCCAGTGCTGCCGGGTACAGTATGCTTCAAATAATGCATAAAAATGGCTGTTTGCTCAGTTGTCCTCCGATGTTTGCCTGTGTCACATTGGGCTAAACTAGGCCATGTGTGCTGGGTTGGTTGCGAGTACTGCATATGAGTAGCCAGCCATTTGCTTTTCAAGCAATATGGTGGCCTGATTCCTGCATCACATCCACAGTAGGCTGTTTCCTCTGCATCTCGAGTCTTATGTATCAATCCTCTTGTTTCACCCAACCCAATCAAAAGGTTCGCTTGTTAACACACCCATTCAGCGGTTGATGGTGATAATGACAAAAGAAGGCACAATGCCATGCAACAAAGCCAAATCAATTTCCTCAGGAACTTTTAGACAATGAGAGTCAACATAGATAACGTGAGCTGTGCACATCCTCCCACATACCACCCCAGATCCTTAACTCTCAGTGATCACTTCAGCTTGGTAGGCAGCAGTCAGAGCTCAGACAGACGCCTCTTGCCATGCCAAGCCAGCTCCCAAGACCAGCTCATCGAGTAACTACTGTCGTTTGGCAGCCAGCAGTCGAAGCACCAGAGCCTCTTGCTCTGCCAGTCCCAGCCCCACACCCTCACCACCAACAATCTTCCCTCCCTCCTTCCATTGACCCGACAAACCGGCTACCCTAGCCTTCTTGCCAGGCCTGCTAGCAGATGCATGCCCCTCCGCTGCTTGCCCCTCGGACTTCACTCGCTTTCCCACCCTTCTCTCCCCCCCCCCCTGCTGTTGCTGCTGCTGCTGTTTCTCTCCTTCGCCGCATCTCATGCTGCTCCTTATGCTGTTTCCTTGCCTTTGCAAGGTCCTGTGCGCCCCATTCCAAAGGAACTGCTTCAGGCACCTCCTCCTCTTCCCCTCCCCTTCTCTCTCCTGCTCTCTCTCCCCTTCTCTTTCCCCCTCTTTTCCTCTCCCCCACTTCCTCTCCCTCATCTTCACTGGAATCATCCCCATTCTCCCTTTCCTGTTCGTCCATACTGTCACTCTCCATACTATCACTTTCGTTCCATTGCACACCACCCTTTTCAAACCTGCTCTCTTCCTCACTCTCACCCTCGCTATAGTCACTTCCACTGCTCTCACTCCTCCCTTTGCCTCTTCTCCTCACATCCTCCTCTTCCTCCTCCTCATCCCCCTCCTCCTCTTCCTCCTCTTCCTCCTCACTATCCTCTTCATCATCACCCCCCCTGCCTAGCATTACCAACCACCCGGCCTCCCTCCTCCTCCCCCTCCTCCCTCCCCTCTCCTGCCCGTTTCTTCACCTTCAGCTTCTCCTTGAGTTTTTTCATTCGCAGACGCTCCTTTTCAGCTGCCCGGTCCTCCAAATCCTTCTGCTGCATCTCCTCCCGCAGCTGCCGGAATCTTTCTTCAGCTGCCCGGGCGGCAGCTGCCAGCTCATCATCCTCTCCTGCCGCCCTCTTCCCTGTCCCATCCTCGCCCTCCGCCGCCGCCCCTCTATCTTTGTCCCTTTCCAAGGCAAGGGCGGCGAGGGGCGGCAGCGGGTTGCCCTCGTCGTCGAAGACCAATCGCGTGCCGCCATGTCGGCCCGGACCCGAGAGAAGCTTCTTGCGCTGCTTCCTGGAAAGAGTCAAGGTGCTGCGGGCGAGGAAAGAATGGGGGTGGGGCGGGGGAAGAAGGGGGAGAGGGGGGATGGAGGGACGACTTTTGAGGCGCCTAAAAAATGCTGTTGGCGAGGAGAGAATGGGGGTGGGGCGGGGGTAGAAGGGAGAGAGGGGGGATGGAGGGGGACTCTAATTTTTATGCGGCTCAGAGAAGCTTCTTGCGCTGCTTCCTGGAAAGAGTCAAAGAGCTGGGGGCGAGTCAAATTTAAAAAGGCGGGGACGGGGGAAGGGGGGTAATGGAGAGAAGGGGGGAGGAGGAGAGGGGACTTTTGAGTCGACTCGAAAGTCATTTTGTTTCCTGGCGTGAGTCAAGGAGATGAGGGAGATATAAACTGGGAAGTGGAAAGGGGAGAACGGGGACAGTATGTTTTTTAGGTGCCTATAAAATGCTTCTTGCGCTGCTTCCTGGAAAGGTTCAAGGAACTGAGGACAAGGCAAAAAAAAAAAAAAAAAAAAAAAAAAAAAACAACCATCAAAGCACTTACTTAAGTATCCGCTTCTCTTCTGCTGCAGTCGCTGCCCCACTCCTCCCCTCCTTCCCTCCCTCCTCCCCTTCCTCCCCCTCCTCTCCATCCAACAAATGATTCACCCTCTTCACCCGCAGTAGCTCATCCTCCTCTCCTTCCCCCTCCTCCTCAGCTGCCCCTTCTTCACCCTCGTCATCCTCCTCGGTTGCTCTCAGCTTATCATATGAGGCCGACAGTACCCCTCTATTGGTTCTCCCAAACAGCCGCTCCAGCTTTGTCTTTTTCTTCTTCTCCTCTTTCCTTCCCTCCCTTCTCTCTTCCTCTTCCTCTTCCTCTTCCTCTTCCTCCCCTTCCTCCCCTTCCTCCCTCTCCTTCTCTTCATCTGTATCCTCCTCTCTCTCACTCCCTCTCTCACTCCCTCCCTCAATCTCATCATCACTCTCACCACCACCCTCACCATCACTTCCCTCCTCACTACCATCACTCTCATCATCACCAAATCGAATCTTCTGCCCCTTCCACTCCCCTACGCTCCCCTTCCCGCCCTCCCCCTTCCCCTTTGCCCCTTCCGCTTTCCCCTGCGCATCCCCTGATTTCTCTCCCGCCCCCTTCGTTTTTTTCAGGAAGCGAAGTTTTGGCGGGTTGGGCAGCCCCATGGAGGCCGCGATTTCTTCCACGGGCAGCTTGGTCAACTCAAAAACTTCTTTGTTGCTCTGCCCGAGGGAAGAGCATGGGGAGGGGGGAGGGAGTGGGGGTGGGTGGGTGGAGGGAAGGGCAAGGAGGAGATTAAGGGCAGGTTTCACACATACATTAATGTCGTTTTTATATGTATGTAACATGTATATATATATATACAATATATTTAGTGTATACGTATGCACTCATACATTCATATACACACTCCAAATGTCATACCTGCAGGTGCACGGATTATAGGTAGGTAACAAAGGAGTGCTGAATGAGGTATTTGTATATGTGTGTGTATATATTTAAATAAATATATCCATATGTGTATGTAGACATATATTATACGGTCATACCTGCAGGTGAACGGATCGCAGGTAGGTAACGAGGGAGCGCTGTGCCAGGTACTTGATCTCAGAGTCCTTTGAGAGCAGCGGTACAGACATGCACATACACATGTATACATACCCCATACACACCCCATACACACCCCATACATGCATCACATTCATACCTGCAGGTGCACGGATCGCAGGTAGGTAACAAGGGAGCGCTGTGCCAGGTACTTGATCTCAGAGTCTTTAGAGAGCACTACACAGATACATACATGCACGTGCGCGTAGATGTATACTCCATACATGCATGCGTCACAGTCATACCTGCACGTGAATGGATCTGAGGTAGGTAACGAGGGAGCGCTGGGCCAGGTACTTGATCTCAGAGTCCTTTGAGAGCAGCGGTACACATATGCATACTCCATACCATACACACATACATACACATACGGCATACATACACAACCCATACACACGTCATACCTGCAGGTGCACGGATCGCAGGTAGGTAACGAGGGAGCGCTGTGCCAGGTACTTGATCTCAGAGTCCTTTGAGAGCAGCACTGCATATACGCACATACACATGTATACATACCCCATACACACCCCATACACACCCCATACACACCCCATACACACCCCATACACACCCCATACACACCCCATACATACCCCATACACACCCCATACATACCCCATACATACCCCATACACACCCCATACACACCCCATACACACCCCATACACACCCCATACACACCCCATACACACCCCATACATGCATCACGGTCATACCTGCACGTGAATGGATCGCAGGTAGGTAACGAGGGACCGCTGAGCCAGGTACTTGATCTCAGAGTCCTTTGAGAGCAGCGCTGCCAGTGCTTGAGCTTTGGGCTGCATCTTGGCTGGGTTCGCCTGTTGGGTTTGGTGCGGTGGGGTGGGGTGGGGTGCGGTGGAGTGCGGTGCGGTGCGGTGCGGTGGGGTGGGATGGTAAGGACAAGGCTTGTAATCTCAGAGTCCTTTGAGAGTAGAGCTGCCAGCGCCTGGGCTATGGGCTGCATCTTGGCTGGGTTCGCCTGTTGTTGGGTGGTCGGGCGCGGTGGAGAAGTGTGGGGTGCAGTGCAGTGGAGTGGCGTGGGGTGGGGTGGGGTGGGGTGGGGTGGGGTGAACAAGAATTGATCTCAGAGTCCTTTGAAAGCAGCGCTGCCAGCGCTTGGGCTATGGGTTGCATTGCATTGCATCTTAGCTGGGTTGGCCTGTTGGGGATGGGGTGGACAACTGTTCATCTCAGTGTCCTTTTTGAGAAGTTTGAAAAAATCATCCCATGGGGTACCCTTGGGGTCCATTCCAATTGAAAGGGGTATGCATCAACGTAAGGGTCGGATTAAGGGGTTGAAAGAGGTAGAACTCACCTTGGTTAGAGAAAACGGGATTTTGGCCGCCTCTAGTAGCGGCAGCATTGCTTTCTCAGAAGGGGTGAGCAGCAGCAGCGAGCGTCCAGATGCATTGAACCTGGCCGTACGACCGACACGGTGAATGTACGTTGCCACGTCATCAGGGCAATCCGCCTGGGAGTTGGGGAGGGGGTGAGATGGGGATGTAGAGGAACGAGGTAAGTCAACAATGTCAACAAGAGTCAACGAAATGCACAAGCTTGAACAAAGTCCAGTACGACATGGTCCGAGTCACAAAAGTCCTAGAAGGAGGCTGGGCGGGTCCTCAGTCAACCCAAGTCAACTCAGGTCAACGAGAGCCACACTCTCTCACCTGCACCACCCAGTCCACGGCCGGGAAGTCGAGCCCTCTAGCAGCGATGTCAGTCGCAAACAGCACGGCATGGTCCGAGTCACAAAAGTCAACCTTAGTCAACCCAAGTCAACCAAGCCACATTCTCTCACCTTCACGACCCAGTCGACAGCAGGGAAATCGAGCCCTCTCGCAGCGATATCTGTGGCAAACAACACTGCATGGTCCGAGTCACAGAAGTCAACTTAAGTCAACTCAAGGCACTCTCACCTGCACAACCCAGTCGACGGCCGGAAAGTCCAGTCCTCTAGCAGCGATATCCGTGGCAAACAAAACTGCATGGTCAGCCAAGTCAACCCAAGTCAAGAAGAGCCACATTCTCTCACCTGCACGACCCAGTCCACAGCCGGGAAGTCCAACCCTCTCGCAGCGATATCCGTGGCAAACAGCACTGCATGGTCGGCTTCGCAAAAGTCGTAGAAGGAGGCCAGGCGGGTCATCTGCTTCATCCCATGTCAGCCAAGTCAACCCAAGTCAAGAAGAGCCACATTCCCTCACCTGCACGACCCAGTCCACAGCTGGGAAGTCCAGTCCTCTCGCAGCGATATCCGTGGCGAACAGAACTGCATGGTCGGCTTCGCAAAAGTCAACCAGAGTCAACCTGCATTCAAAGGATCTCTCACCTGCACGACCCAGTCCACAGCTGGGAAGTCCAACCCTCTCGCAGCGATATCGGTGGCAAACAGCACTGCATGGTCGGCTTCGCAAAAGTCGTAGAAGGAGGCCAGGCGGGTCATCTGCTTCATCCCATGTCAGCCAAGTCAACCCAAGTCAAGAAGAGCCACATTCTCTCACCTGCACGACCCAGTCCACAGCTGGGAAGTCCAGTCCTCTAGCAGCGATATCCGTGGCAAACAAAACTGCATGGTCAGCCAAGTCAACCCAAGTCAAGAAGAGCCACATTCTCTCACCTGCACGACCCAGTCCACAGCTGGGAAGTCCAGTCCTCTCGCAGCGATATCCGTGGCGAACAGCACTGCATGGTCGGCTTCGCAAAAGTCATAGAAGGAGGCCAGGCGAGTCATCTGCTTCATCCGCCCGTGCAGCAGCTTCAAAGCAATGCCGGGCCTCAGCCTTCTGAAGGCTTCAAACACGAATTTGACCTGAAATAGAGAAGTGGGGAAGAGGAAGGGGGAAATGCGGAAGGGAAGAGGGAGGGGGAAAGGCGGAAAGGGGAAGAGGGAAGGGGAGGGGGGAGGGGAATGGGGAGGGGAGAAGTGGGAAGGGGGATGGGGGTGGGGAAGATTAGCTCACTCCCTATCCCGATAATCACCTGCTCACTTCCATCTCAAGGCATCTCCAAACCCTCATTTCTCCCCACCTGCTTGCATCTGGTCAGAAACACAACCGTTTTCTTCTGTAAGTGGTTCCTCAGGAATCTCCACAGCACGTGGCATAAACCACATGCTTGCACACAATTTACACCCACGTGCTTGCAGCTGCTCTGCTCTCACCTGAATGCGGCTGCTCTCACCCATGCGCCCTCTCACCTGCTTGCAGCTGCTGAGAAAAACGACCGTCTTCTTCTGCAGGTGGTTCCTCAGGAAGCTCCACAGCACGTCCAGCTTCTGGGAAGCTTCCACGACCATCACCGTCTGCTGCAGCCTCAGCGGAGTCGCTTCCTTTGCTTCAGCATGCACAGAGAGGTACTCGGGCGAGGAGAGGGAGAGGCGGGCGAGGTCGCGCACGGACTTGGTTTGGGTGGCGGAGAAGAGGAGCGTTTGGCGGTGCGGGGGCGGAGGCAGGTTGGCGATAATGGCGTTGAGAGCCGCTGCGAAACCCAGGTCGAGAATCCTATCAGCTTCATCCAGAACCAACATCTGAAAGTGGGTGAGGGTGAGGGAGAGGGAGAGGCGGTTGAGGGAAGTATGTGGGGCGAGAGAGAGAAGGGTTTGTGGATGATTGTGTGAACCCCAAGGGCCAAGTCTAGAAGGGTTTGTGGATGATTGTGTGAACCCCAAGGGCCAAGTCTAGGATTGGATCAGCCTCGTCCAACACGAGCATCTGGAGGGGAGACAGAAAGCGGGGTAAGGGGAGTGGGGCGGAGGGGAGACAGTGGCGGCAGGCAGGTTGGCGATGATTGTGTTGAGCGCTGCTGCAAAGCGGCGCATATGGAAGGGAGGGAAGAAGGGTCAAGGAGAAGGGGGGCACGAGGGGGGCGGAGCGGAGGCAGGTTGGCAATAATGGCGTTGAGCGCTGCTGCGAATGCCAGGTCTAGAATTCGATCTGCCTCGTCCAACACGAGCATCTGATGTAGGGGGGTGGACGAACGGGCAACGGAAGGGAGGGGGGCCGGTGGGGGGGCGGAGGCAGGTTGGCAGTGATGGCGTTGAGCGCTGCTGCGAATGCCAGGTCTAGAATTCGATTCGATCAACCTCGTCCAACACGAGCATCTGGTGGCAGAGGTGGAAGAGCAGAGGGCTTTTTTAGACTTTTCAAAAAATGTCTTGAATGCGATCAATTGGTCTCGTCCAGCACAAGCACCTGGAGGGGAGGGGGTTGAAGGCGGAAACGAAGTTGGTGGCTTTTGAGGCGCCGCGCCTCAAAGGTGGTACAGCCAAGGGCCTAAAAACGTCTCAAAACACCCTTGAAAAAAAAAAAAAAAAACAAAAAAACACACACAGAGGACAGGATTCAGTGCCTCACCACCACCAACGAGTTTTTTTGTTTGTTTTTTTGGTTTCTTTGTTATGTAATCGTATTAAAATTCCTTGTCGTACCAGTGGCTGGAACTGTAGAAACACACCTAGTAACATACCTGGAGGTTAGATGCGTCAAAATTAGGTGTCTCGTCCATATGCTGCAGCAGACGACCAGGCGTGCAGACGAGGATGTTGAGCGACTGGTGGGGTGGAGGAGAGAAAAAGGGATGGAGATTGGAGGTTGAGAAAGGGTTAAGGAGGGTGGCATCATGCATATACTGCGTCAAGGTTCATCGTGGAGTAGCAGCAAACCTGTAAAATTCTCTTAAGCAAAAGAAAGGGTTAAGGAGGGTGGCATCATGCATATACTGCAGCAGACGACTGGAATGTTCCCAAGTTACGTGACTGCTAAAAACCAAAGTGAGTGTTAAAAAAGCATATGTAAGAATTCTCAAACCCACCTGCACGCGCTCCCTCTCTTTCTCCACGCTCCCTGCCCGCCCGCCAATGAGCAGGCCGCCCGAGAACGGGTGGTGCCGCCCGGCCTTCTTGAGCTCGCCAAAGATCTGGGTGGCAAGCTCCCGGGTCGGCGATATGATTATGCCGCCCACTCCATCCATGTGCGACCAGCGCTGCCGATGCAGCCTCTCCAGCAGCTGAAACGAGGGACAAAAGGGTGGGGAGAAGGGGAGTGTTCTTGGTCAGTGTACTAAGACACCACATTCCATCGCTCGCCCACACCGTCCATGTGCGACCAGCGCTGCCGATGCAGCCTTTCCAGCAGCTGAGCGGGTCATTGGAAGAAGCCAGAACAGTGGAACAGCAGAGAAGGCGATGTCAGAAGGGAAAACAGACACGCTACAGGGACAGCCAAAGGCTGTGACTGCTGAAGCTGTTGAGACGCCTTTTGCTGTTGCTGCTGAAGCTGTGCTCTTGGCAGGCGCTCCTGTACCGGATGCCCTTATAACGGATGCTCCTATGACGGATGTTCTTGTAACGGATGCTCCTGTCACGGATGCTCTTATATTGGATGCTCTTGTATCAGATGCTCCAGTAACAGATGCTCTTGAAACGGATCCTTCTATAGATGAACCTGGATCAGTTCCGAATGAAGGGGCCACTGGGGGAGCCACCGGGGGAAGCACTTGGGGTGTTACCAAGGAGGGCGTTACTGGGGGAGGCGATATGCTGCTACAGTCTACAGATGATGAGGAGACAGAGGATGAGTGCAGCATAGAAGAAGGTTCCTTTAATGCAGAGGGAATGGAGAAAGACGGGCTTGAATTTGGCTGCAGAGAGCAAGGCGAGGCCGTGCATGCTAGCAGGGAGCAAGGCGAGATCAGGTCAGCAGCAGAGGTTGGGGCTACAGGCACGGATGTGAAGCGAGAGGCAGAGGAGGAAGAGGGAAGTGCAGAGGAGGAAGAAGCAGCAGCAGTAGTAGGAGCAGCACGAGCACGAGCAGCACTAGCGACCGGTACTGTTAGTGGCAGCAGGGAGCAGGTTATTTCAGCAGCAGCAGCAGCAGCAGCAAGTCATGAAACGAGCAGCAGCAGGAAGCGGAAGCGCAAGCAACAAGGCTCATCATCATCGTCAACCCACGCGCTCCGTCTATCCGACGTTCACCGCATGATGGCAAGCCCAGCCCTCGCCCGAACCAACGCCATCGCCCACACCATGCGGAAACTCATAGTCTTTGCCACCCTCGCCGTCCAAAACGGCTTAAACGACCTTCTTAAGCTTGAGTTCTCCCATTTTGTCGTTCTGAACCGGGGGGGTGAGTACCTGTCGCCGCAGTTTCCGGGCGAGCATGTTGCGTTCGTGCCGCCGCCGAGCCTCGCGCCGAGCCTCGTGCACAAGCAGTTCTTTCCGAACCTGCAGAACCCGATCCTGTGCCCGGTTCGGATTTTGGATGAGGAGGCTCGGATGCGCCCGCCCGGAGCTGCGCCGAGCCTGTTTCTGTCGGCGAAGTTTTCTCGTGTGCCTTCTTTCGGGCCCCTGAACAGGTGAGATTGGGCTCACCCATGTGGGCAGGAGATTTTTCAGGAGATTTTTCCTTGGCGTTACTCCACTGTTGCTCATGCACCCAACCTATGCGCCCACTCCCCTAGCCCCCATTTTTCCTCTCTCCCCCCTCTCCCCTTCTCCACCTCCCTTTCCCCCCATTCCTCCCACCCACCCATCCACCACCACTTCCCCTTCCCGTTCTCCCCCTCTCCCCCCCCTTCCCCACATAACACCTGCACCAGCTACGCCCGCCACCCCATGGGGCGAACCAACCTGGCTCGCTCCGCCTCTAATCCTTGCCCCTTCTCCCCCTCTTCCCTCCCCACCTTCTTTTCCCCAAATAACACCTGCACCAGCTACGCCCGCCACCCCATGGGCCGAACCAACCTGGCTCGCTCTGCCGCCCACCTGGCAGATGCTGCCGGGCTGACCCACGTGGGCAGGAGATTCTTCAGGTCGCTTGGCGTTACTCTACTGTTCATGGCTGGTTTTTCTTTGGAAGAGGTTCTAAGGGAGGCGAATTGCTCCGTTAGTAGCCTCTACACTTTGTACTCGCCACAAGATGATGGGGGCGGGGGACGGGAGGTGGGGGGGGGAGGGGGGGGGGAGGGGGGGAAGAAGGGGAAGAGGGGGATGAGGTCGGGCAAGGGAAGGAGGAGGGGAGGTATGGGGGAGGGGATGGCGGAGGAGGGGTGGAGGCGAGAGGGGAGATGGCGGGGGAAGGGGAGTTGCAGCAGCTGGTGGGAGGTCAGGTTGGGAACCAGGTGGGGAAACAGAGCCAGGTGAATCAACAGATTCAGGCGAATTCTCAGGTGCCGTTGAACCAGTCTCAGGGGGAAGGAGGTGTCATGGGGGGACCGATGGGGGAGACATTGGGGGGAACTATGGGGGAAGGGATGGGGGGAGGTGCAGGAGAAGAGATGTGGGGAGGGACCGCTGTTGCTACAACCACTCAATTGCAGGGGCAGAAAAACGGGCAGATAAAAGCACATGGGTCTGCACAGGAGAAGACCCTTGGGAATCGGAACAGTAGAAAGAAGCTGCACAAGGTGCAGAAGGTGCAAAGTCAAGGAGACGTTTTTGACTCGACTCAAAAACAGAGTCAAGGAGACGAGGAGAATGAGATACAGAATCAAATCCGGACTTCTCAGTTGCTGCAGCAGCTGCAGGGGTATCAGACGGAGTATATCCAGCTACAGTCGCAGTTGCAGCAGCTACAGTTGCGCATGGGGCAGATACAGACACAGCTCGCCGCCCGGGGGGTGGACGTGTCTGTGGATGGTCTAGGGGGGACTTGGGGGAGAGTTTGGGGGATGCTTGGAGGAAAAAGTGGCAAAAGAGGTTTTCACAGCACCCACCACATGCAGACCAACAACAGGAGCAGCAGGGAAATCAGCAGCAGCAGCAGCAGCAGAATCAGCAGCAACCTGCAAACTCGAGAGTTGTTAACGGGGGCGCTCCCTTTTACCTGGGCGGCACGGGGACAGGTGGCACGATGCCATTGGCTGGAAGATCGACCAATCACCCCTCATTCCCTGCTGTTATGGCACCTGCGGTTTCCCCTGCTGTTGCATTTGCAGCAGCAGCACGCGACACGTATCTGACAGTTGCTCCTGATTCTGCTGCCGCTGCTGCTTCTGCTGCTGCTGCTGCTTCTGCTGCTAATCCTGCTACGCCTATTGCTTCTCCTGCTGCTGCGCCTGCTGCTGCTTCTGCGGTTGTTGCAGCTGTTGCTGCTACTCTTGCCCATTACGCAAAAGGGTTGCCTCCTCTCCCGACTCCTCTCTCCATGGTTTATAACGCCAATAATGCCACAGGCAGACTTAACATTCCAACTGCTCGCCCTGCTGCTGGTGCTGGTGTTGCTGCCTCTCTCTCCATAGGTTATAACGCCAATAACGCCACAGGCAGAAATATCTTTCCAACTGCTGGCCCTGGTGCTTCCGTTGCTGCTGCTGGTGTGATGGGTGCTTCTGGTGTGATGGGTGGTGGTGGTGTGATGGGTGCTAGTCGTGTGATGGGTGGTTCTATGGGTGGGGTCATGGGTGGGGTTATGGGGGGTGGTATGGGAGGGGTTATGGGGGCACAGGGAATGGCAGGGATGCGAGCAGGGGTGATGGGAGCAGGAGGAGGGGCAGGAGCGGGACATATGGGGGTTATGGGGGCAGGCGGAATGGGAGGGGCAGGGGGGGGAGTATTGAGAGGGGGAGTGATGGGAGGGGGAGTGATGGGCGGAGGAGTAATGGGCAGGGCAGGCGCAGGGGTTATGGGGGCAGCAAGAACGGGAGGGACAGGGGCAAGGGTAATGGGGGCGGAAGGAATGGGAGGGTCAGCGGCAAGAGTAATGGGGGCGGAGGGAATGGGAAGGGTAATGGGGGGAACAGGAATATTGATTCACCCTGGTGTGACTGTAAGTGGAGGAGGGGGCGCGTTGCTTCCCCACAGTGTGCTTGTAACGGGGGTGAATGCCCCCCCTTATAACGCACACCTGTCTCCGGTTCAGCAGATGCGGCAGGAGCAGAGGTGGAAGGAGAGACAGAAGAAGCAGCAGAATGCGGACGAGTGAAGGGGAGAGTGAAGGGGAGAGTGGGAGAGGAGTGCATGAGGGGAAGCAGTGCATTGGGCAGCTCAGCAGATGCGGCAGGAGAAGAGGTGGAAGAAGAAACAAAAGAAGCAGCAGAATATGGACGAGTGAAGGGGAGAGTGAAGGGGAGAGCATGAGAGGAGAGGAATGTAGTAGCAGTGCAATGGGGATTAGTGAAGGATGGGCAGCTCAGCAGATGCAGCAGGAGCAGAGGTGGAAGAAGAGAGAAAAGTCGCAGCAGAATGTGGGAGAGTGAAGGGGAGAGCATGAGGGGGGGGTGAAGGGGAAAGCATGAGGGGGGGGTGAAGGGGAAAGCATGAGGGGGGGGTGAAGGGGAGAAGGGAGAGAATGAGGGGAAAGTGAAGGGAGAGAGGGGGATGGCATGAGACGAGTGAAATACGGAATAAGTGCATTGGTTGGGCAACTTAGCAGGTGCAGCAGGAACAGAGGTGGAGGAAGGGGCAGACGAAACAGCAGAATCTGGACGAGGGAAGGGGAGAGTGAAGGGGAGAGTGGAGGGGAGAGTGAAGGGGAGAGTGAAGGGGAGAATGAAGGGGAGAGTGAAGGGGAGCGCATAAGCGGAAGCAGTGCATTGGGCAGCTCAGCAGATGCAGCAGTAGAGATGTGGAGAGGGGTGCAGAGGAAGCAGAGGTGGAGAGGGAAGAAGAAGAAGCAGAGATGAAGACGGAAGCAGAAGAAGCAGAGATGGAGCGACAGGGATGGATGGAGAGAGGAGAGCAGGGGGGTTTGAATCAGTGCAATCGAGACGAGCGAAAATGGAGAGAGGAGGTGGGGGACGGGGAAGCGAGGAGGCACGGCGGAAGGAAGAGTGAGAGGTTGAAGCTAGGGATATGCATCTGTCTGCCTTCCCACTCACTCTTCCTTCCACCTTGCCAACCCAACCCAACTCAACGTTACATACCTGATTTTCAAGTGCCTAGACAGATCAGTTAGCCTAGACAGATCAGTAGGCATGTGTGAGGAGGAGAGAGAGGTAACTAGGACCGAGAACAGAGACTCCCTCCATCAATGATCCATCCTATTGAACGTAGATGAGGCGAAAAACAAGGTGGGGTATTGGGGAGAGGGGTGCTTTAATGCTTTATGTCAAGACCTGTTACAATAATGCATCTTAATGATGCTGCCTCTTGTGTCAGTGCGTGCGCCCCCAGTGGAGGTTTATCCCCCTTACACTGTTGCCACCTTTCACTGTAATGGTCAAACATTCTGTGCTTGAGAATAGCAGTCATAAACACTGTCCTAACATGAAGGGTACCGGTGTCCGACTTTGTTACATTTCCTCAATTGCAGATATCCTTTAAAGCCCAAGGTCAGCATGGTAAAGTTTCAAGTTATGTGGATTTGAAATAGGCGGTAGGTGACGGTGTGCAAAATCTATTTAGGTTGAGTGGCTCTGGCGAGGACTAGGTACTTTTCTCCGCGAGCAACAGAAGACTCATCAAATTCCAAAAAAAATACGTAGCAAGTAATGTGCTGTTACACTGTACTGCACGTTGTTGTGTTTTTCAGTATCACTCACATTAGCATATCAAAGTAGCCGCCACCCACTGCTGACAATGCACCTACCACATATGTCCCTCCTTCCTGTTAGGGATGCTAAGGGTAAGTTGTGCTGTTGAGTTCAAATGTCGCTCATATTGACACCAGTTGCTGCGGCGTTCCATTGTCACTCATACTGGCACGGACTATGCTGCTGTGGTACGTTGTCGCCCATATTGACTCAAGGTGTGCTGCTGTGCACCATTGCCACTCATATCGACACCAGGTATGACACTGTGCTGCTCCTTATATCGAGTCGCTCATATCAAGCTGCCACCAGTGCCAGTGCCCCACCCAGAACTCCCTCCCGTCGTGCTTCCCCCTGTCTCCACCCCCTCCCTCTCTTCCCATCCGTGTGAAATGAGATGAGACGAGTAGCTAGTCGACTCATAACTCATTCTCACATCGCTCATATCAAGCTGCCACCAGTGCCAGTACCCCACCCAGAACTCCCTCCAGTTGTGCTTCCCCCTGTCGTTCCCCCCCAACCCCCTGCACTCCCCCCTGCCTGCCCCCCCCCTGCCCCCCACGCCCCCCCTCCCCCTCCTGTCGAAGCACCCCCCCCCCACCCCCCACCACCACCACCACTACCTCCCCCAAAACCCCCTCCCCCTCCCACACCCGCACTCCCACCTCCCCACGCGCTCCCCCCTGCTCCACCTCCACCCATCGTTCCCCCTACCGGTCCCCCCAACGCACTTCCCCCTCCCCCACCCCAAGGGCTGGGCGCAGCAGCAGCAGCCCCACTCCCCCCACTCCAAGCCGACACACCGCTAGGCTTCGCCGCCATACCACCCGCCGACCCATACCCGCCCACCGGAGCTGCTGCCGAGGCTCCGCCGCCGAAGCTGCTGAGAGGCTTGGCAGGAGGTCCGGCATAGGCCACGCCGGCGGCAGCAGCTGCTTTTTCGTTTTCGCGTCGGAGCATGTCCTCTGCTTCTTTGAGCGACCGCTGCTTGCGCCCGTCCGCATCCTCTGCTGCCTTCCGCACGGCCTGGGATAGCACCTGCACCACCTTCATCGCTTTCTTCCTGGCGATTGGGAGTGGGGGCCGGGAACAGGGGGGAGAGAAAGAGAAGAGAAACAGAGAGAAGGAGGAGGAGGGGGTAGGGGAAAAGGGGAAAGCCAAGGGGTATAAGTGATTGCATGAGATGGCGGTCGGAGCATGTCCTCTGCTTCTTTGAGGGACCGATGCTTGCGCCCGTCTGCATCCTCTGCTGCCTTGCGCACCGCCTGCGAGAGCACCTGCACCACCTTCATCGCCTACTTCCTGAAGAGTGGTGGGGGATGGGGTGGGGGAGGGGAGGGAGGAGAAAAAGAGAGCAGAAGGAAGAGGGGGACCAGGTAAATGAGCAGGCGCATAAGAAACAGGCTTCTGCTGCTTGCACACGGCTTGCCGGCAGCAGCAGCTGCTTTTTCGTTCTCGCGATGCCGCATGTCCTCTGCTTCTTTGAGCGACCGCTGCTTGCGCCCGTCCGCATCCTCTGCTGCCTTCCGCACGGCCTGGGATAGCACCTGCACCACCTTCATCGCTTTCTTCCTGGCGATTGGGAGTGGGGTTCGGGAACAGGGGGGAGAGAAAGAGAAGAGAAACAGAGAGAAGGAGGAGGAGGGGGGGTAGGGGGGAAGGGGGAAAGTGAGGGGAATGTGTGAGTCTATGTCATGGTGGTCGCAGCATCTTCTCCGCTTCTTTGAGTGATCGCTGCTTGCGCCCGTCCGCAACCTCTGCTGCCTTTCGCACGGCCTGAGATAGCACCTGCACCACCTTCATCGCCCACGTACTTGTCACTCCATTACAGCATGAGACATGAAGAGAACCCACAGACTCACTTGGGGTCTTGATCAGCAGGCAGCGCGCTGGCTGATGGCACAGCGGCATAGGAGGGCACGGAGGAGGAAGCACCGCCGAAGGCAGCACCGCCGCCAGAGAACCCCCCTCCCTCGCCCACGTATTTATCCCCCTCCACCAGCCTCCCTGTCGCCTCGCGAATGGCTTGCTCAAACTGCGGCCCGGGTCCCCCACACACCTGATGAACAACAGGGAGATTGGGTTGGAAGGGGTGGGGTGAGGGAGGGGAAGGGATATGGAGGTGCGTGTGAAACCCCTGCCTCCCTTGCCCACGTATTTATCCCCCTCCACCAGCCTCCCTGTCGCCTCACGAATGGCCCGCTCAAATTGCGGCCCGGGTCCCCCACACACCTGGTGAATAGATAGGGCGGTTGGGTTGGAAGGGGTGGGGTGAGGGAGGGGAAGGGATATGGAGGTGCGTGTGAAACCCCTGCCTCCCTCGCCCACGTACTTACCCCCCTCCACCAGCCTCCCTGTCGCCTCACGAATGGCCCGCTCAAACTGCGGCCCGGGTCCCCCGCACACCTGATGAAGATTGGGTTGGGGAGGGGGAGGGGGGATATGGAAAAGAAAGGTGTAAACTACCACCTCTTGCCCAAGTTATTGTCCCCCTCCACCAGCCTCCCTGTCGCCTCGCGAATGGCCCGCTCAAACTGCGGCCCGGGTCCCCCACACACCTGATGAAGATTGGGTTGGGGAGGGGGAGGGGGAATATGGAAAAGAAAGGTGTAAACTACCACCTCTTGCCCAAGTTATTGTCCCCCTCCACCAGCCTCCCTGTCGCCTCGCGAATGGCCCGCTCAAACTGCGGCCCGGGTCCCCCACACACCTGATGAAGATTGGGTTGGGGAGGGGGAGGGGGGATATGGAAAAGAAAGGTGTAAACTACCACCTCTTGCCCAAGTTATTGTCCCCCTCCACCAGCCTCCCTGTCGCCTCGCGAATGGCCCGCTCAAACTGCGGCCCGGGTCCCCCACACACCTGATGAAGATTGGGTTGGGGAGGGGGAGGGGGGATATGGAAAAGAAAGGTGTAAACTACCACCTCTTGCCCAAGTTATTGTCCCCCTCCACCAGCCTCCCTGTCGCCTCGCGAATGGCCCGCTCAAACTGCGGCCCGGGTCCCCCACACACCTGATGAAGATTGGGTTGGGGAGGGGGAGGGGGGATATGGAAAAGAAAGGTGTAAACTACCACCTCTTGCCCAAGTTATTGTCCCCCTCCACCAGCCTCCCTGTCGCCTCGCGAATGGCCCGCTCAAACTGCGGCCCAGGCTCCCCACACACCTGATCCATGGGCAAGCAGGGGAGTAGGGCAAGTGGGTGGGAGAGACGACGCGGGCTGAGGGCGGGGGAGAAGGAAGGCAATGCTGCTATAAATGGTGAAAGACTTTTGATAGACGAAACCTTCCTCAAATCCCTCACTCACTCACTTACTCACTCATTCACACACTCCCTCGATCCCTCCATTGTAAGCCACCTGCACCAGGCGGCATATGAGTGACGTGACGTAGCAGGGAGGAGGCGGGTGGGGGCTAGGGAGGGGGAAGAGCAGAGCAGGGCACTCACGTCCTGCACGAGGAGGATGGCGAAGCAGAAGTCAATGACGAGCTGGTCGCCACCCCCTCTCCCTCCTTCCCTCCCTGCTACCCACTCACTTCATACCCTGCCTGCTACCGACTCACTTCATACCCTCCCTGCTACCCACTCACTTCATACCCTCCCTGCTACCCACTCACTTCATACCCTCCCTGCTACCCACTCACTTCATACCCTCCCTGCTACCCACTCACTTCATACCCTCCCTGCTACCCACTCACTTCATACCCTGCCTGCTACCCACTCACTTCATACCCTGCCTGCTACCCACTCACTTCATACCCTCCCTGCTACCCACTCACTTCATACCCTCCCTGCTACCCACTCACTTCATACCCTCCCTGCTACCCACTCACTTCATACCCTCCCTGCTACCCACTCACTTCATACCCTGCCTGCTACCCACTCACGTCCTGGACGAGGAGGATGGCGAAGTAGAAGTCAATGACGAGCTGGTCGCGGTCAAAGTGGTCCTTGCCCATGCGAGACGAGTTCAGAAAGTCCTGCAGCCCCCACCCCTGCCCTGCCTGCTCGCCACTCACTCCCTCGCTGACTCCCTCACTCACTCCCTCACTCAATCGCTCCCTCCCTCCCTCCATCACTCAAGCCAGCCAGGTGCCTCCCTGCCTGCTACCCACTCTCCCTCTCGCTCAACTCAACGGCACCTTGAGAGAAATGGAGCGGGGAGAGAGGGAGGAGGGGGAGGGGAAAGGGGGGAACGGTGGGGAGGGGAAGTGGGGGCAAGTAGAGGGAAGCACTCACGTCCTGCACGAGGAGGATGGCGAAGTAGAAGTCAATGACGAGCTGGTCGCGGTCAAAGTGGTCCTTGCCCATGCGAGACGAGTTCAGAAAGTCCTGCAGCCCCCATCCCTGCCCCGACTGCTCGCCGTACCGCTGCGACACTGACGTCAGCACCCGGGTCAGCAGCAGTAGAGTTTCAAGAGCCACGGAACTCTTCTCTCCTGCCGTCTGGGAGACGATACAACAAGAAGAGGGGCGAAATAGGGTTTAGAGTAAGGAGCAGGTACGCCCATCTGCCCTGACTGCTCGCCATACCGCTGCGACACTGACGTCAGCACCCGGGTCAGCAGCAGTAGAGTTTCAAGAGCCACGGAACTCTTCTCTCCTGCCGTCTGGGAGAACGGGAGAAGAGGGGCGAGATAGGGGTTGGGGTAGGGAGCAGGTAAGAAGGTGATTGCTCGCTCGCTGTACTGCTGTGTCACTGCTATCAGCAGCACTTGCGTTTCATGAGACCTAGGCTCTACTTTTCTGCCGTCTGAGAAGATGATTGGGAAATCGAGACGCAAAGTAGGAATCGGAGCAAAGACAGAAATACTGGAACTTCTGAGGAGCGCCCTGACTGCTCGCTGCCAGGAACTTCTGGCAACCCCAAGAAACTTCTGGCAACTTTAAGAAACTTCTGGCAACTTTAAGAAACTTCTGGCAACTTTAAGAAACTTCTGGCAACTTTAAGAAACTTCTGGCAACCCCAAGAAACTTCTGGCAACCCCAAGAAACTTCTGGCAACCCCAAGAAACTTCTGGCAACTTTAAGAAACTTCTGGCAACCCCAAGAAACTTCTGGCAACCCCAAGAAACTTCTGGCAACCCCAAGAAACTTCTGGCAACCCCAAGAAACTTCTGGCAACCCCAAGGTTCTCTCACCAGCTTAGCAGCTGCTTTCTGGGCGGCAGCCGCAAGCTCGTTGTCGTAACCAGCCATGCAGAGATACTGGAAGCGCTGCAGCACTGGCAATCCCAAGGTACACCACCAGACAACCCCAAGGCAGACCTGGCCTGACAACCCCAAGGTTCTCTCACCAGCTTGGTAGCTGCTTTCTGGGCGGCAGCCGCAAGCTCGTTGTCGTAACCAGCCATGCAGAGATACTGGAAGCGCTGCAGCACTGGCACGTGGGGTGAGGGATAGGGGTAGAGAGAAGGTATGGGATATGGGCCAGGGAACATAGGGTTACTCATCGCTGTAACCAGCCATGCAGAGATACTGGAAGCGCTGCAGCACTGGCACGTGGGGTGAGGGATAGGGGTAGAGAAAAGGTATGGGACATGGGCCAGGGAACATAGGGTTACTCATCGCTGTAACCAGCCATGCAGAGATACTGGAAGCGCTGCAGCACTGACACGTGGGATGAGGGATTGGGGTAGAGAAAAGGTTTGAGACATGGGCCAGGGAACATAGGGTTACTCATCGCTGTAACCAGCCATGCAGAGATACTGGAAGCGCTGCAGCACTGGCACGTGGGGTGAGGGAATAGGAAATAAATTGGGGTGTGGGACATGGTGTAAGGAACAAATGGTTACTCACTGTTTTAGCGGGCCATGCAGAAGAAATAAATGAAGCACAAATCATGTTTTCGTGAATCTATGCACTTATGATGTCACTGACAACCATGTTTTCGTGAACATGTTAGATAAGAGAACGATGGAATCATAGACTCCCGCAGCCCTGGATTTATCCAAGCACGCATTCATGCTCAGATGCTTCGATGAATTCATGGCTCATGAGATTCCGCATGAATCCATGAACATGCTATACACACCGTCGAGCAACACACGCGCTATCGGGATATCAAAAGAAAGACGATTCAACAGCTTACCAGGTGCACATGTCGCGTGCAACGGACTTACCTAGATATAGGTTGTCTGCTGGTCGCTTGCCGGATTTCTTAAGAGCTTCGATCTGGTCTCGCTCGTAGTAGTCCGTGTACGTCTGGTACGCCTTGTTTATCCCCGTTGCAATCGCACTCACGCTCGTTACAGTCGCATTGTACAGCATGCTCAGCCCCTGCTTCGCGAAGTAACCCGCCTGCGACGTATTCATGTTCGCTAACGTCGAGCAAACCAAGAGATTCAACGAACGAGCTGGCGAGCAATCTAGGCGTCAACGGTAACGAGAAACTAGAGGTGCAGAGCCTATGCTTTGATAAGTCCAAGACGACGGAACGATAGGTTTTGGAGATTCTCTTGCTGCGAGGAGAGATTTACGAAAAAGACCGTTGTGGATTCACGACACGCTGATTATCCGAACTTTTCCACCATAAGCGGTCTGTCGGGACGAGAAGCGTCATACGCGGCTTATAGCGTTGTCGTGCTATGTTGGCTGGGTCTTTCCCACTTGTGGGTTGTAGTGGGTTAGGCGAGCAAGGTGGTTACCATCGAAAGGTGTTTTCGTTGCCCTTGAATATCAGACACTATCGCAAAGAAGGTCGCAAACTTCGAACTTCGGTTGACTCAGGTGCTTTGCAATCCAGAACGTTAGGGGAGAGGTCGTGGGCGGTTGATAATCGAACACTTCAGATGGTGGGGATCTTTTTCCTTGCAATTCTGAGGATTATTGTCAATAGTTTGTACACCTTTTTTTATATCATAGCAATGACTGGAGTTATGCATACGTATTGATACGTAGCCTAACAAACCCTATTTAACAAACAAGCCTGACAACACACAGCTCTGCGCCCGTAATGCTTGGACGGCTGTTACATGCAACCTAGAAAACCATGCTAAACAAACAAACCTGACAAGCACGGGCCTTGCACAGTTACACTGGTACATGATTTATCACGAGCTGCTTCCCCGCATCCCTTTCCTCGTTTGAGGTTGTTGCCTTTTGGATCATCGATATGAGTGCGACAACCTGATCTGTGATATAAATGACAAGGTAGATGGCTCCCAGAAGGCCAACTGTGACCCCAAATATAATATAACACCACTGTTTGTGGAAACGAGAGGGGAAGAAGAGCAAACGGAAAAAGGGCATTAGCATGTGATGGGAGGAATGGTAGGCGCGTAGGATGTGAGGAAGAAAACGAATGGAAGGCACATGAGCATGTCAGGGAGAGGGATGAGGAACGTGAGGCACACCAAGCACAAACACACAAGGGGACACCTCCATCAAGCGTTGCTCGCAGCCTACTGGAGAAAAGGCACGAGTAGATGCTGTTGGGGTTACTATATAGAAACGCACCTGGAGGTTAAACGAGTATTTCGTCTGCATGATGTCGAATCCGAGGAAAGTGTTGAGCCACGCCAGCCCGACAATCCCAATGCCAAGCACCCAGTGGATGACGAACCACGTCGGCCGATTCACTGTACCCTTGTTCGGCCGGAAGTGACCAATCATAGGCTGAACGAAAATCAGCACAAAGATTGCGACACCCAGCTGGCCGTGCGAGCTCTGCAGCCCCACCGACCCGGATTGCACAAACACGATAATACACCCCGCGATAGCGATCGTAACCGCAGTGATCTGCATCCACTTGTGGGTTTCGAACGCCATCGGCTTCCAGGATTTCGCGCAAGCAACTTGCGCCTCCCACTTGTCGTGGTCCACGCCGGGGGGACGCTCTTGGAGCTTATCGGCGAGGAAGATGCGCGAGATGAGAATAGCGGCGGGCATGAGGATTCCGAACGCGATCCCGAGCAGCCATGCGTGGACGACTAAGAGAGTGGTTGAGGGCGGTGCGGTGGACGAAACAGTTGTACTTCCAGAGACGAAATCGATGGTAGCGGAGCCTCTGCGCATAGGGGGAATGGATAAGCGTAGATAGGGAGAGGGAGTGGGGGAAGAGGGGGGGAGTAGTGAGCAACCAGCAGCGTGTGAGAGAGTGCAGAGGAGGATCCATGGAATCTTTACGAGAGAATAAAAAGGGGGATGGGGGGAGGAGGAGGGGCAATAGTGAGCAACCAGCAGCGTGTGAGAGAGCGCAGAGAAGGATCCATGGAATCTTCTACTAGAGAACAGAAAAGAATGGGGAGAGAGGGAGGAGGAGGGGAGGAGGAGGGGTGGAGGGGGAAAAGGGAGGGGGGAAAGGAAGGGAGAGGAGAGGAGGGTGGGTGTGAAGCAGCTCACCTGTTGGTCATATGGTTGGCGAGGGACTGCGAGCCATCAGCCGAGTAGGCCCAGATGACCTTCGTCACGCCGTTCGCATTGATCGGGAACGACCCCACCGCCAGCTGTCGGGTAAACTTAACCACCGTCTTCCCATTGGCTCCCGACTCCACTGCCGTAGCCGACACAGCAAAGCCCGAACTAGGCGACACGCTCGTGTAGCTGGAAATGGAATGCGGCGCAACGGAGGCGCTGTTACCGCTGCCGGTGCCGACGACAGCGTCAGCGGGAAACATCTTGCCGTCGGCGCTCCACCCCAGGGAGACCCACCCTGCGGTTGCCACCTCGCAGGCGAAGCTGATGGTGGTGGCGTTGGCCTTCCAGTGGAGAATGAAGCTGAAAGAACAGGGAGAGGGGGAGGGAAAGAGAGCAGGAGGCAGGGAGGGAAGGAGAACAGGGAGGAGGGAGGGAAGGAGGGAGGGAGGGAGGGAGGGAGGGAGGGAGGGAGTGAGGGGGAGAGTGGGTGAGAGTTACCCACCTGGTGGTTACCACCATCCCACAACTCAGACAAGCACCCAGTGGTAAAGGAAACAGTGCGAGGCATTGTGTAGAGAATATAGATGGAGAGAGAGAGTGAGAGATGCTCACTTGTCGCCACTGAGCTTGGTGGAGCACTCAAGCCCAGCAATGGTGGACGGCGTGCAGCCACCCAGTGGTGAAGGGAACAGTGAGGGGAATAGTGCAGAGATAGATAGTAAGGGGAGAGAGAGAGAGTGTGTGATGCTCACTTGTCGCCGCTGAGCTTGGTGGAGCACTCAAGCCCAGCAATGGTGGACGGCGTGCAGCCACCCAGTGGTGAAGGGAACAGTGAGGGGAATAGTGCAGAGATAGATAGTAAGGGGAGAGAGAGAGAGTGTGTGATGCTCACTTGTCGCCACTGAGCTTGGTGGAGCACTCAAGCCCAGCAATGGTGGACGGCGTGCAGCCACCCAGTGGTGAAGGGAACAGTGAGGGGAATAGTGCAGAGATAGATAGTAAGGGGAGAGAGAGAGTGTGTGTGATGCTCACTTGTCGCCACTGAGCTTGGTGGAGCACTCAAGCCCAGCAATGGTGGACGGCGTGCAGCCACCCAGTGGTGAAGGGAACAGTGAGGGGAATAGTGCAGAGATAGATAGTAAGGGGAGAGAGAGAGAGTGAGAGATGCTCACTTGTCGCCACTGAGCTTGGTGGAGCACTCAAGCCCAGCAATGGTGGACGGCGTGCAACCACTCCCCTTCCCGTTGCTGCTGCTGCTGCTGCTGTTGCCGCTGCTGCTGGAGCTAGCACTAGCTGCACTGCTACCACCACTGGAGCTGCTGCTGCTCCCAGTGCTGCTGCTGCTGTTGCTGCTGCTGCTGCTGCTGCTGCTGTTGCTGCTGCTGCTGCTGCTGCTGCTGCTTCCGCCTGTGCTTGTGCCATTGTTACCAGCACCCGCACCGGCACCAGCACCAGCACCCCCGTTGCTGTTGCAGTTGAAGCTGATCTTAGCCGAGCCTCGGAAGGTGCCATGGTAGTCAAGAGCCTTGCTGCTGGCAGCAGAGAAGCCCCAGATGATGGTGTTGGTGGCTGGGCCTGTAAGCACGAGCGGGGAGATTCCTCCGTCACCCTTGGAGCGAGAGAACCTGAGAATCAGAGGAGAGGGAGAGAGGGAGAGAGGGAGAGAGAAGGAGGGAAAAGGCAGAATGAGGTCAGAGCCTTGTTGCTAGTGGCGGAGTAGCCGCAGACGAGCGAGTTGGTGGCGGCGCCTGATAGTAAAAACAATGAGCCGAGCCAACACACTGATCAGATCAATTCCGCACGTGGAATGGAAAGCTCACTCTCGGTAGCCAGACTCACTTGATAATGGTGCTGCCGCCGTTAGCAGCGACCGTCGACGCCTTGCTGATCTTGAAATTGGTCGACGGAAGCACAGCAGACGCGTCGTAACCGCTCATGTAATACGCGCCCACGGACCCATCAGGGAGATTCCCGATGACCGTATCTGCAGGGTACATCTTGCCGGCCGCTGACCACCCCATAGAGATCCACCCCTTGTTGGCGCCACTGGCCGGTTTGGCTTCTAGTGCCATGTCCAGCAGGCCGGCTGGGGTGAGCGTCCAGTGGAGGAGGAACCTGAGGAGATACAAGAAAAGAACAACAAAAGAAAAAACGGAAAAGGAAATGTAAAACAAAGAAAAACAGGATATTTGTTGATGTGTGGAAGCGGGAGAAGAGAGGGCATTGACCAGCATTGACTGACGTTGTCACCGGTGACCAGTACTGACTAACGTTGACCAGCGTTGACTCACCCTTTGCCTGTGAGGTCCTTGGAGTGCGCGTATCCTGTCAGCGTGGACGCATCACAGGCCGGCAAGTTGGCCGCACCACTGCTGCTGCCACTCCCACTCCCACTCCCACTTCTAGTGCCGTTGCTAGTGCCATTGCTGGTGCTGCCACCAGTGCTGCCAGCACCAGTGCTACCGGGAGCAGGACTAGGAGTAGGGACAGGGGTGGTGGGGGTGGTGGGGGTGGTGGGGGTGCCGCCGCAGTTGAAGCTGATCTTAGCCGAGCCTCGGAAGGTGCCATGGTAGTCCAGAGCCTTGCTGCCAGAACCGGAGTAGCCCCAGATGATGGTGTTGGTGGCGCTGCCAGTGAGGACGAGCGGGGAAACGCCTCCGTCGCCCTGGGCGCGCGAGAACCTGGAGGAGGGAGATAGAGAGCGAGATGGAGGGGGGAAAAGCAAGGTAAGTTCAGCACCTTGCTGCTGGCAGCCGATTGGCCCCAGATGATGGTGTTGGTGGCGCTGCCAGTGAGGTCGGGCGGGGAGTTCCCTCCGTCGCCCTGGGATCGAGAAAACCTGGGTGAGGGAGATAGGGAGACAGGGGGGGAGAGAGAGCATGACCAGGTGAGCTTAGAGCCTTGCTGCGAGCAGCGGAGTACCCCCAGATGATGGTGTTGGTGGCTGGGCCTGTGAGGACGAGAGGGGAGATACCCCCATCGCCCTTGGAGCGTGAAAACCTGTAATAAGGAGAGAGGGCAGGAGAGAGCAGGCCAGGAGGGCAGCCGTGGTAGTCCAGGGCCTTGCTGCTGGCGGCGGAGAAGCCCCAGATGATGGTGTTGGTGGCGGTACCCGTGAGCACGAGCGGGGAGATTCCTCCGTCGCCCTGGGATCGAGAGAACCTGAATAAAAGGCAGCGGATGGAGATGTAGGGAGTCTTTTCACTCGACCCAAAATATATCTGGGGTAGGGAACAGCGGAAGAGGCGGGTAAGGCCAGAACGCTACGGGGAAGAGACGGCAGCGAGGCAACAGTCTAAATAGGCACAGGAGCGTTGAGTCTAACGCGGTCGGTCTTTAGGATAACCGGGACAAAACCGTCGAGTCTAACCACGCACTTGATGATGGTGCTGCGGCCGTTCGCGCTGCTGAGCAGCCCTCCGGAGATCTTAAAGCTCGTCGAAGAGACAATGGTCGTCCCGTCATATCCGCTGATGTCATACGCGCCGACCGCGACGCCCGGCAGGTTACCAATGACGGCGTCCGCGGGAGCCATTTTCCCGTCCGCGGACCACCCCACGGAGATCCACCCGTTCTCCGCGCCGCTCCCGGGCTTCGCCTCGACCGCGATGTCCAATCGGGTGGGAGTCGCGAGCGACCAGTGGAGAATGAACCTGGATGGTCGCGATTCGGAGCAAGGGGGAACGGGAACGGGGGTGTTGAAATATGAGAATATAGCGGGTCGGAACGGGGTGAGTTGACATTCGCCTCGAGCGCGACGTCCAATCGGGTGGGAGTTGCGAGCGACCAGTGGAGAATGAACCTGATTGGTCGCGATAAGAGAAGGAAACGGGGGAAGGGGGAACAGAGACCGAGGGAATGGGAAACGGGGAAATACTTAATATCGCGTGCAGGGAACAATAAGCGGCTATTCAACTTGACGCAACCCAATTTCATTCGCCCAAGCCGAATGGGATGCGTATATCGGGGCAGACGTGTGCTTTGTACTATACCGGGTACGGCCGCTTACCCTTGCCCCGTAAGGTCTTGCATATGCTGGTAACCCGACAGAGTCGACGCGTCGCAACTGGCTGCTGCCGCCGCCGCTCCCGATAGACTGAGAGCGAGCATGCTTATAAAGAGGATGCGGGCAAATGCCGTTGCGCCGCGAGGCTCCAATCGTTCTCTTCGCAGAAGAATCATCTTAGAGATTGACATCTCCCGAACCGCGGGTTTGTTGCGAATGTGACGTTCTGCAAACGAGGAAGGCGGAATAGCAGTCGAAATGCGTGAAGATTTTTGCGAAATGCGGGCTGTTTCGCGAGGCAGGCGACAGCCTTGATGTCGAGAATGCGGCGAGCGGAACTGCTGAAATTCATGAACGCGAAAGCACATTGCGGTTCGAAATAATTTGAATCAGCCGCGAGAGCTTCCTGCTCTGTCTATTGTAGAGGATAAGCGAAATAAGCGAGATAAGCGAGATAAGCGAGGTAAGCGAGATAAACGAGCGCGCGGCGGAGAGCGAAGCCTATGCGCGCGCATTTCGCAGCCGACGAGAACTCGAAATAGGAGCTCACCTTACTGTCGGATTAGGAGCTTTAGAACTTTTGGTCTGGGTGATGCCGGCGGAGAAGATGGCGCGACTTGATCTTTCAAGCGTTCGCCGCGTGCGAGAGAAGGAAGGAGCTGAAGATGAAATATGGAGACAGCGGAAAGGTGTCGGGAAGACGCGCGGAGCAAATTTGGCTGGGAAGTGGGTGTATGGTGAATGTGAAAGGGTAAGCCGTCGATGCTGGCTCGTTTCCAGTCAAGATTGAAGTGGAAGGGGATTTTTGAGAATGGAATCAAATGCTCCCGCGAAGGGAAGTGTTTTTATCCGAGCTCCAGCAGCCGAGCAACGCAGTGCTGATAACAGAAGCGCGGTTATGGCAGCATAAGCGGGGGTGCATTTGGGGGGAGAGGATGCGGGTCGGTGGCGGATGAGACGAGGAGGAACAGGCGGAAGCTGAAGTCTTGTGCGCGAAGACTGGGCATGCGCGACCGGTAAAAGGCCACGTTTCCGCTTGTTTGAGGGGAAAGAAAGCAGGGGCGATGGGGGAGATGGTTCGGGAAGCGCGTGGTCGAGGGAAGAAGCAGCGGGGAGGTTTCTTTGTGTTGCGCTGGCGGTGGTGGTGTAGAGGAGTACCGTGCTTTTTCTAGTAGGTGGTTTGAGGAGTCACGGGGTCAGAGGCCGTTGGTACTGGTTGATTTTTAAATGTGGGAATGATAAACTAGAGCAGAGGGATAAGGCTGCTCGCATTTGTTTTTCGGGGATTTTAGTTGAGTAATCAAACGGTCAGCTCGGTTGCAATTGGAAATTCTTGCCTTTGGGGGTTGAGGGGGCAACAAATCCGTTTCGTTGGATTGGAACGGCAGAATGCGGGGATGCCACGCCGCGAGTCTTCAAACCAAGGGTAAAGCGCTGATAAGCGGTAAATCTTGCTTTCAGATTTTCAGGGACCACGCACGAACCCCGCGCGGTGTGTGGTTCTCGGCGGGCAGGAGCAGGAAGCCCGCACTGCGATGGGGCGGGAATTGGATGTGTGATGACCAGCGCGAGTTTGATGGGCAAGTTCCGCGTTCCTCAAGTGAATTCCACGGTCCACCTGGTCGCCAACGTGGAGAGCCGAAATGAGAAGCTGTCAATTTGAGTCACGTATTTTGAGGTAGCAGTTGCTTCTCGCGTGTTTATCGTGTGTCGGTGAGAAGGTTTGTGAACAAAGCAACGGAATTCAACGCAAATAGTGACGTGGATAATATTCAACACACCGCCAACCAACCACAACCACGAGGTCGTGGACAGCGCATCACGCCTCAAGCACATGACAACCCGGGCAGATGAGAAAACAAATATGCATCCCCAGCAAGTTTGTGCGCGGTGTATGGACCTGTAATTGCCAAAGTTCATCAGATCATGCTTAGGGAGGGAAATTATGTCAGTCGTAACGAACATGGGGCTCCGTAACGTGTACGATAACTCGATCGCGCAAACGGTCACTATATCGGAAGTGTTCGCGTGTTTGGTAGGTGGTGTAACGCGTTTGGTCACTAATAACTGGCGCTGAATCACGCGAATGGTCACAGATGAAACCCTCGACCGATCTGACGGCTCCAATTCCAACTTTCTAATCGTTGTTCTGGAGCGTCGATTCCCCACGATTTAGTTTCAGCTGTCGGATCAAACTTTATCAGATCGAACGGCTCACGTATTGCTCACCGCTGGATACTCTGTTTTACACCCTGATTAAAACCAGGGTACACATTCAACGCGACTCCAGGCTAAATTTTGGGCGGCATGTTTGCGGGAACTGCTGATTGGTTGACGAGTAGCGAATAAATAGTTGAGAATGGGCGAGCATGGGGCTTTTCGTCCGTGAGAGATGAGGCTTGGCAGGGGAGAAATTGATAACACTTGGATCTAGAAATTGGGGATCAAGGGGAGGGCAACTGGGTTAGCGGAAAGGGGAAAGGGGGTGAGACGATATTGTGGGGGAAGGGGAAACAATTTCGGTGGGAGCGGAATAGGTATGGGGAGGGGGGAAACGAATTGGCGGAAGCACATTCGATGACTTCGGTTTACATTTGCCAAATCTCGAGGGTTCAAATGTTCACCTGCTGAAGCGAACACTCCCCCCAGATATTCCTAAATCACTGAGTAACCCCGAGGTCAAAGGTTAACCTTTGACAGAAATCCAATTGAATGTGCACCCTGGTTTTAAAACAAGGACTTGTTGAGTACCCTTTATAGCCCACAAATATTAACGAACTTAATACCACCTGGAACACCTGTTGGGTTCACCTGGTAAATGAAGTCGAAGAGTGTTAAAAGACATTTTGATTCTCTACTGGTAGCAGATGACTTTTGATATTAAACTTTATATGTTTTAGCGGATAAACATTTGCGCGTATGGTAATTGCACATAGAGTATGAAGTTGGATCTTGGGCCGTTCGATCGATACATGTCAGATCCGACGGAATACATTGTTTCAGAAAAATCGACGCTCCAGGAAAGCGAACCGAAAAGTTGGAATTAGAGCCGTCAGATCAGTCGAGGGTTTCAGCTGTGACCATTCGCGTGATTCAGCGCCGGTCATTAGTGACCAAACGCGTTACACCACTTACCAAACACGCGAACACTTCCGATATAGTGACCGTTTGCGCGATCGGGTTACCGTACGCGTTATCGAGCCCTATGTTCGTTACGACTGACATAATTTCCCTGCTTAGGGAGGGTCACACTTCATTTGTTTACAACTCATGTACAGTATCACATTTCAGACTGTTATGTTGCGGTATAAAACGGTGAACAAGATTGTTAACCTCCTTTTACTGAACTGCACCATGGGTGTGACTGGCCCTTGCACCTACACTTCATATATTAAATACTCGGTATGAGTGTGTGTGTTTGTATGGCCGGTATGAACCTGCAGTATGGCACGGTATGGCCGATAGTTCTCCAGTCTGTTATAATGGGGGGAAACAAAGGTCCATCCATCCCACCATTCTCAAATGTTGTGGCGTTATTCCTGATACAGAGGCAGGTTTCTAAGGCCGGGATGATGTTGGTTGGAGGCAGCCATTCCAAATCAATTCACTATGTTACTAAACCGTTGAGTCTAACAAACTCTTATGTCATGAGTCATGACTGTCACATTCCGCAAGCAAATATGCAAATCAAAGGCCAGACAACACACGGTTGCTAGGTATAAGTGTACAAGAATAGTGCGGAATACCGGCACCTAGTGACCCAATATTGGGAAGTTGGGAACCACTCTACCACCATCGCAGGCTACACTTCGTCAACCAGCTTTCCCCTTCCTTCATCCGCTGCAGGTCTCAACCTCACAAGAATGAACACCACCTGATCCACCACGAAAATGACCACGCAGACCAGGGTCAAGCACCCATGGCCCAGCTTTCTAATCCACCATTTACACCTGGAACGATAGCTTTTTGTGTCCTTCGTCCGCTGCAGGTCTCAACCTTGCAAGAATGAACGCCAGCTGATCCACCAGGAAGATGACCACGTAAACCATGGTCAAGCACCCATGACCCAGCTTTCTAACCCACCATTTACACATGGAACGATAGCTTCTCCTGTCCTTCATCCGCTGTAGGTCTCATTCTTGCAATAATGAACGCCACCTGATCGACCACGAAGATCACCACGTATATCGCCGCAAATAGCCCGATCGCAATCGCGAAGATGATGAAGTACACCTGCATGTCGGAGGCGAATTTACTCGCCATAGCGTCGAACCCAAGGAAAGTGTTCACCCAAGCGAGTCCGACAATAACCATGCCGAACACCCAGTGGATAATGAACCATGTCGGCCGATTCACAGTACCCTTGTTCGGCCGGAAGTGGCCAATCACAGGCTGGATGAAAATCATCACGAAGATAGCAATTCCGAGCTGGCCGTGAGTGCCTTGCAGACCCACCGAGCCGGATTCGACCATTCCGATAATGCACCCTGCGACAGCCAGCACAACCGCGACAATCTGCATCCACTTGTGCGTTTCGAACGCCATAGGCTTCCAGGATTTCGCGCGTGCAACCTGCGCCTCCCACTGGATAGGGTCCACGCCGGGAGGCTTCTCCTGGAGCTTATCGGCGAGGAAGATTCGCGAGATGAGAATAGCCGCGGGCATGAGGATTCCGAACGCGATTCCAAGCAGCCACCCGTGGATGATAAAGGCTGTTGATGATGAGGACGAGGAGGTAGAGACGGCTGATCCGGAGATGAAGTCAATTTGAGCTGATCCGCTGTTAATGAAGAACAAGGGGGGGGAGAGGGGAGAGGGATGAGAAATGGGACGAGGAACAGAATGAGGAATGATGGAATGAGGCACATGGGATGGGAAAGGCATGGGGCTGATGCACGGGACATGAAGCACAGAGGCAGAGGCAAAAGGGACACAAGGCATAAGGCATCTAGCATCAGGCATCAGGCATCAACCATCAAGAAGCAAGGTGTTTTCAGGTAACAAGGACAACTCACCAGTTGGGACCATGGTTGGCGAGAGTCTGAGAGCCATCAGCCGAGTAAGCCCAGATGACCGTGGTAGGCCCGGTCGCATTGCGCGGGTGCAATCATTCCCTTACCAAAAGTTGGTGCAATGGATGAGGGCAAGAGGACTCACCAGTTGGGACCATGGTTGGCGAGAGTCTGAGAGCCATCAGCAGAGTAAGCCCAGATGACCGTTGTAGGCCCGTTCGTGTTGATCGGATATGATCCTCCCGCCATCGGCCGGGTGAACTTCACAACCGTCTTCCCATTGGCCGATGACTCCACTACCGTGGTTGACAGGGCGAATGCTGACGTGGCAGAGATGTCAGACGCGCCGTATCCCGTGATGCTGTACGGAGCGACTGCTGCGCTGTTGCTGCCAGCTGGCTGGTTGCCAATGGCTGCGTCGGCCGGCTGCATTTTGCCGTTGCTGTTCCACCCGAGGGAGACCCAACCAGAGGTCGACACCTCAGCAGCGAAACTGATGGTTGATGTGTTGGCCTTCCAGTGGAGAATGTACCTGTGAGAAAAAGAGAAAAGGCGGAATGGGGAAAGGAGGGAGAAATTTGAGAGTGAGAAAACAACAAACACTAGGGCGAGGGCGAAAGTCAAAAGGGGAAAAACGGAAAAATGAGATGCCGGCTGGAAAGAAAAAAAGAGCAGAAAGAAGGCCAGCTAAAAAAGAAGATGACGTACTTGTCGCCACTGAGCTGAGCCGAGCACGTGTAACCAGCAATAGTGGAAGGCGTGCAGCTGCTGCCGCCGCCGCCGCTGCTGCTAGCGGTGCTGTTGCTGGCCTTGGAACTATCCTGGCCTGCGCCGACTGCCCCGGTTGAACCCGTGCCTGAGGTCGAGCCTGATCCCGAGCCTGATCCCGAGCCTGAATCCGTGGCGCCTGAGACAAAGTTGATGGTGGCAGAACCGCTGCAAAGATATAGTAGGATGGGGATGGAAGGGATCGAAGGGGAGGGGGGGGGGAAGGGGGGCAGGTTGAGAACAGGGTTAGGGGAGGTTGACAATTCCGATATCAAACCGCCTACCCCGCCAATCCAATGTTTGGAAAACAAAAGCACGGAATCTGTAGACACGTACCGGTTAAGGTCGTGATTCGCCAGAGCTTGGGAGTCATCAGCCGAGTAAGCCCAGATGACCTTGGTCGGTCCAGTCGCACTGATCGGGAATTTCCCCTTGGCCATCGCGCGCGTGAATTTCACCACCGTCTTCCCATTGGCCGAGGAATCCACGGCTGTAGCGGCCAGCGCGATGCCTGACGCCGCCACCGGGGTGACGTCAGTCTCGCTGTAGCCGGCAATGCTGTAGGTCGCGACTGTAGCGCCGCCCGCTGCGCTGCCCGATGTTGTTGCAGCGGTGGTGGTGGAGGAGGGGAGGTTGCCGATGACGGCTTCAGAGGGGTACATCTTGCCGTCTGCGCTCCACCCCAGGGAGACCCACCCGGCGGTTGCCACCTCGCAGGCGAAGGCGATGTTATCCCCGGTGGCGTTCCAGTGCAGAACGTATCTGCGAGGGGGAGGAGAGACAGGAGAAGGAGAGGGAGTGAGTGAGAGTGTGAGAGACCCACCCGGTGGTTATGCGAAGTTGATGTTATCCCCGGTGGCGTTCCAGTGCAGAACGTAGCTGCGAAGACGGAGGAGAGAAACGAGGAATGAGAAGGAATGGACAGAGGGGACCCACGGGACAGGACAATCAAACCACAGGACCCCCGGAAATGACGGGAAAGACTTGTGAGATGGATAGGTGGATGCGGTGGTTTTCTTACTTGCTCCCATCAAGCTGAGCAGAGCAGGCGTAACCAGCGATGGTGGAAGGCGTGCAGCTGCTGCTGCTTCCAGTGCTGTTGCTGCTGCTGCTGCTGCTGTTGCCATTGGATGAATCAGCAGGAGGCGTTGTTGTTGGAGGCGTGGTTGTTGGAGGCGTGGTAGGGGGGACTGGCGAGCCTGATCCCGAGCCTGGTGCTGAGCCGGATCCCGAGCCTGAGGCAGCAGCCCCGGCAGCGAGACTAAGAACCGCAGAACCGCTGTGGAGAGGAACGAGAGGCAGCACAGGGGGAAAAATAGAGGTAGGAGGAGGGAGGAGGGGGAGAAGAGGTTCGGGAACAGAGGCAGATGAGCAATGAGCGACAAGAGAGAATATAAGGAGTGGGAGAGAAGCGCAGATGGTAGAAAAGAAGAGCGAAGTCACGAGAAGGACCGGAAAGGACGTGCTTACCGGTTGATCCCGTGATTGGCCAGTTTCTTCGACCCATCAGCGGAAAACGCCCAGATAAGATTCGTCGCCACGCTCGTGTCAATCGGGAATTTCCCACCCTTGAGAACCCGCGAGAATTTAATCACCGTCTTCCCATTGGACGAGGTCTCCACGGCTGTAGCGGTCAGCGGGAGGGCCGACGCCGCCGCGGGGGCCACGTCAGACTCGCCGTAGCCGGCAATGCTGTAGGCGGCGACTGTAGCACCGCCGCCTGTAGCGCTGCTCGAAGTGCTGGCGGCGCGCTTTGTGGTGGAGGAGGCGAGGTTGCCAATGATGGCGTCTGAGGGGTACATGCTGCCGTCTGCGCTCCACCCGATGGAGACCCACCCGGCGGTTGCCACCTCGCAGGCCATGTCAATCGAGTCAGCGTTGGTCTTCCAGTGCAGGACGAAACTGGAGAGGGGGAGGGGTTGAGGGGAGGGGGGGAGAGGGAGATAGGGAGAGTGAGCGGGGGAGACCCACCCGGTAGTTGCCACCTCGCACGCCAGGTCAATGGAGTCAACGTTGGTCTTCCAGTGCAGGACGAAGCTGGAGCGCGGGAGGAGAGCCAGGAGAAGGAGAGAGAGTGAGTGAGAGCGAGGCAGACATCCTTTTGGTGGTTGCCACCTCTCAGGCGAGGTCAATGGAGTCAACGTTGGTCTTCCAGGCCGGACGAAGCCGAGGGGAGAGGGATGGAGTGAGTGAGGGAGGGCGAGTGAGTGAGCCACCGAGCAGAGTGAGTGAGCAATAGATCAAGAGAAAGAGGATGATTACAAGGCTGTTTGAACTGAAACGAAAGAAACATCACTTACTCATTTCCGCTGAGTTTCTCGGAACACGTGTAGCCATCCAGAGCAGACGGCGTGCATGCAGGGCCGCTGCTGTTGCTGCCACTGGCGCCAGGTGCGGAGGGGGAGGTGGTGGGCGGAGCGGGGGTGGTGGCGGGGGGAGAGGGCGCGGGGACTGCGGGCGAAGGAGTGGCGGTAGTGGGAGGAGTGGAGGGAGTGGTGGGAGTGGTGGGAGTGCTGCTGCCACCACAGTTGAAGCTCACAGTCTTTGAACCGCTGTAGAGATAAGGGGGAAAGGGTACAACGATTGGCGGAAGGGGAAAACGAAGGTTAGTGAGGCGGAAAGAGATGAGTTGGGGCAACAGAGAAATTTTCATCTAACCACTCCAAGAAATCAAACAAATTCTTCAAAACGCGTACAAAAAAAGAAAGAAAGAAAAAAAAAACCAACCCGCACGTTCTAGTTACTGCCGTGGTTGTCCAACGACTGCGATCCGCTCCCGGAATACGCCCAGATCAGCGCGTTCGGCGCAGAAAGCGACATCGGGATCGAATTCGAAAAACGCGTCAGCAGAAACCAACCCCAACCCCTGCTTACAAGTTACTGCCGTGGTAATCCAACGACTGCGATCCGCTCCCGGAATACGCCCAGATCAGCGCGTTCGGCGCGGACAGCGACATTGGGATCGAACCCTCCCCCTCCGTTCGCGTAAACTTCACGACCGAGCTTCCGCCGCTCGCCGTCTCCGTCGCCGCCGCGCCGACGGAAAACGTCGTCGTCTTCGCGACAGATGACACGTCGTATCCCGAGATCGCGTACGCGCCGGCCGCGCCGCCCGGCATATTCCCGATGACCGCGTCTGACGGGACCATGCGGCCGTCGCCCGTCCACGCGACGGAGACCCACGAGCCCGCGGCGCCGCCGGATGCGGTGGCTTCGAGCGCCATGTCGAGCGCCGTGGCGGACGCTTGCTTCCAATGGAGGAGAAGACTGTTGGGGGAAGAAAAGGGGGGGGGGGGGTGGGGGGGAAGGGGGGGGGGGGGAAACGGGGGGAAACGGGGGAAAGCGGGGAGAACCGTGGTGAGTGGCTTCGAGCGCCATGTCGAGCAACGTGCTTCCAGTGGAGGAGCAGGCTGATGGGGACGGCGGAAGGGTGAGAACGGGGAAGGGGGAAAAGTCGGGGGGGACGAGGGGAGGGGGAAGTGCGGGGGCGGGGAAAGTGCGGGAGGAGGGGGAAGAGCGGGGTAAACGGGGGGTAAGGCGGGATAATGGCCTCGAGCGCATGTCGAACGACGTGGAGGAGAAGGCCTTCGACGGAAAGGGGGGGAGGGGTAGGGGGAGGGGGGAAGCGGGGGGAAATGTGGTGGTTGGTAAACGTGGCGGTGGAAGCGAGAAGTGGCGGAGATAAGAGAGTTGACGTACCCTGGGGTGAGTTCCGCCTGATAGTCGAATCCCGCCAGCGAGGAAGCCGGGCACGAAGCGCCGCCGCCGCCGCCTCCGCCGCTGCTGGAACCGGAGCTGCTGCCACCGCTGCCGCCGCTGATGGAGTCTGGTGCACCCGTCGCGGGCGCGGCGCCGCTAGCGCAGGTGAAGTCGATGTTCACGATGCCGCTGCGCGGGGACGAGGGGATGGGGGGATGAGGGGACGAGAGTTGCGGGTTAATAGACGAATATTGAGGCGCCAAGAGCGCAGGTGAAGTCGATGTTCACGATGCCGCTGCGACGACGGGACGGGGTGACGACGGGACGACCGGAGGAGACGCAGGCAAAGTACAGGAACGCGATTCGCCCACAGGAGGCTATCTCGCGAGACATGGCTGTTTATGACGCGTATGCTGCAGGTTTTGCGCACTTACAAGTTCCCGCCGTGGTAATCCAGCCCCTGCGAGCCGCTGCCGGAGAACGCCCAGATGAGCGTGTTCGCGTCGGGAGCCACGGGGAAATCCCCGTCGCCGATCGTGCGCGTGAACTTGGAGACCGTGCTGCCGCCATTGCTGGTCACGACCGCCGTCGACGCCAACGAGAACCCCGTCGTCGGCGCGACGGACCCCATGTCGTAGCCTTGTATCGAGTACGCCGCGACCTTGTTTCCGGCAAGGTTCCCCATTACCGCGTCGGCGGGAGCCATCCGCCCGGACGACCACCCAACGGATACCCACGTGGACTCCGCGCCGCTGCCGGGACGCGCCTCGATCGCGAAGTCCATTTCGGTGGTGCCTTTAGGAGCCCAGTGCAGGTAGAGACTGTTTGTTGGGAGGGAGGGGATAGAGAATGGGCGTCGAAGGTATTGAGTGGGAAGGAACGATGTCGAGGCGCCTCGATCGCGAAGTCCATTTCGGTGGTGCCTTTGGGAGCCCAGTGCAGGTAGAGGCTGTTGGTTGGGGGAGGGGGAAGAGGGGGGCGGGGTGTCATTGACAATGGGTTAGGGGGAGTCGACAAAACTCGGCGAGTTGCGTCATGCTGGGAAACCGCGCGGCGCTTAGCAACGTGAGAGGGTGAAGTAGCGACGTCCGTCAACTTCGAGGTTACGGCAGGTATTCTGAACCAGCACGCATGGTCAAACGACGTATTCGTTATTGTGCCAACCCGTAGCCGTCAGTGACCGCTGCCGTCTGTAACCACTGCCGTCTCGAACAGCTGCCATTCGTAACCGCTGTTAACCTACCCGTTGCCGCTGAGGTCGACGGCGTATTTGTAGCCGGCGAGCGACGACACCTCGCATGCGCCGGTTACGGCGTTACCACCCTCGTCGTCGTCGTCGTCGCTACGCGCGGACGGAAGCGCGCAGATGACCAACCAGAGCGTGACGAGTGGCACGAGCACCTCGAACCGCCTGTGATATCTAGAGTTACCCATTCTCGAGATGTGATGGCGAGTGAATGCGAAGTGTGGCGGGGGTGAGCTAAGACAGGCGATTAAAGACGTCTTGTGGTCCGGAGCTGTGGAGGTCAGCTGGGAAAGAGGCGGTGGGAGACGGAGTTTCGGATGGCGGTAAGATACGAGAGGTGCTGCGCCTCTCCTGTGAGCTCGTGCAGCTTGCTGGACTCTGTTGAAAAGGTGGTTTCTTCGCGGGACAATATGGCGTGGGTTCTGTTTTCTAGTCACTGTCCAAAACTTGGAAAGGCCAAGGTTAGGTTTGGAGGAGGGCGGCGCTGGAGATTTATTATGGTGCTGGAGAAGAGGGGAGGGGGGGGGGGGGGGGAGGATTGGGAAGTTCGCGCGGAGCTGGCACGGCTATGAGGAAGCTGGCGGTGGGAATTTCCCTGCTTCCTTTTCCCGCGAATGAACCCGGAATGAAGATTCCCAGGGGGAATTTCCGCGGGAAAAGGAAGCGGGGTGGGTGGGGGTGGGGCGGGAATGATGGACTTGCACGGTGCAAGAAAGAACAATCGGGACCGGTGGGGGGAGCGGGTGTGTTGAAGCGGCGAAGCGGTCGTGAAAGTGTGTGGTGGGTGGGGGTGCGCGGGGGAAGAGAGCGTTGTTCTGTGGTGACTTGGTGAATTTGTGACGTGGAATTTGGCGGAAACTCCAAGCCGCCACGAGCCGCTTCGTCGGATGCTTTCACCTCCACTCGATTGTGGTGGCGGTGGCCAGGTCTGTTCTGCAACTGGTGTCGACAAGATGGGGCTTTCGGTGTAGTGGGGTGATGGGGGTTCCGGCAGCCGAAAGCACCAGCTTCGAGCGGAAGATTGACGCGGAAATGTGTTTCGGAGTCGAAAATATCTGGCGGAGAATTTGGCGCAAGATTGTGTGGTTTGGAAGGGCATTGCGGAAATCGGATTGGCTTACTCTCTGTCCAGCGGTGATAAGTTCACGTCCCTCCCGATCCGATAGTACAGCAGCTGGCGGGACGCTGGCTGGCAGGGATGGTGGTCAACAATCAATTGCGGTTGGTGTGCGCGTGGTTGCGACGCGCTACCGCGCGTGTTCTGCCGGAATTGGGGTCTCCTCTCATGCCCTGCGGAGCGGAGAACGGAGTGAGCTGAGGGCCCAAAACCGAGAGTCGCACGCATCGGAAATCTCGCAGATTTGTCGGTCAAACGAAGCTTACTGACGACGACGAGTCAGTTCAGTTGCCTGCAACAAGCCCAGCACCAGCGGAAGCTGACGCTGAGCAATGCGGATTGCTGTCGCTGAGCGATGCGGCAAATTTGCGACGCGTCAGGTGTCGCAGGAAGGGTGGAATCGTGTCAGACTGGGCAAAGTGTTGACACCTTTCAGATTGAGGGTAGTCTAAACGCACGAAGCTTGATACCAGTATATGGGCATGTTCTGAAAGAAATTACTGTGCTAAGAATGTATAGATTCCAGAAGTGTGCTTGTTCGATAACGCTGCGGGTTCTTGAAGAAAGGGTGGCAAAATGTCGCCTCCTAACCTAAGCCCTTTTACGGGTAATGAACACCTGATCTCAAAATTGTTGAGGCTAGAATGCAATTCAGCAACTACGGTTCAGAGAGAACTTTTGCCTCCAATTTTCAGCACCTTTCTAGGAACCCGGCGAGAAGCTTCAGCACGCACCGACCACTTACACTCAAAGAAATGATGGGCAACATATTTCTCGCTCACGAAGAGTGAAAAAAAGGTGAAAAATGATCGTGCGGTCCAATAGAGATTCGCCACGCCGGATGTTCAACGCACATGTTTTCCACACGCCACTTCAACGACCCCCCGTGGACTAGCTGTGTTGCGTCGTTGACTCGGACTTCCTCCATTGTAGCAGTCGCAGATTTAATGAGCTTCTAATACAAAATACAGTGTGTACATAAACTAACTGGCTAGAGGTAAGGAAATGCCAAATTCATCCATACACTCCCAGTCCCATCTCCAACCAATGTTTGTGATGTTTGTTGAGTTGGGAGTCTTTGAGAAAAAAAAAATCAAGGTAGAAGGTCACAGACAAGTGCATTCTTAAAACCAGGGTGCACATTCAACGCGGTTCGGCTTGAGATGTTGGGAAGGGGGTTTGGAGAAAAACAGTGATTGGCTCACGAGGGGCGACAAATAAATGATTCCGCTAGAGCTTCGGGCATTTCGTAGGTGGCGGGAGGGGGTGAAATGGCGGGAGTGGGTGAAACCGAATGGCGGGAGGGATGAAACAGATTGGCGGGAGGGGGGGGAAACGAAATTGCAGGGGAGGGGGGAAACAAAATTGCGGGGGAGGGGGGAAACGAATTTCGACGGGGAGGGGGAAATGAAATTGCGGGGGCGTGGGGAAACGAAATTGCGGGGGAGGGGGGAAACGAATTTCGACTTGAAGGGGTTGAAAGCACACCTCGTAACCCACTCAGTCAAGGGATAACCTTTGATGCACATTCAGCTGAATGTGCACCCCGGTTTTAAACTAAACAAACCAACTAGATATACCCAATCTGACTACAGTACAAAAGTGCATGACGAACAAGCACGGCCTTGTGCACTGCTCAATCGTCACCTTCCTCCTCATGCTCACCCCCTTCGTCCCCACCCCCCTCACCGCCCTCACCCCCCTCACCGCCCTCACCCCCCTTGCTCCCGCCACCCTCTCCCCCGCTGCTCCCGCCACCCTCTCCCCCCTTGCTCCCACCGCCCTCTCCCCCCTTGCTCCCGCCGCCCTCTCCCCCCTTGCTCCCGCCGCCCTCTCCCCCCTTGCTCCCGCCGCCCTCTCCCCCGTTGCTTCCGCCGCCCTCGCCCCCGCTGCTGCCACTACCCTCACCGCCCTCACCACCACCACCGCCTCCCCCTTCGCCCCCGCCCTCACCTTCACCCCCTTCTCCCCCTTCCCCTCCTTCCCCTCCTTCCCCTTCCCCGCCTCCACCGCCCCCCCCCCCAGGTGCGGACTGGCAGGAGAAGTCGACAGTGAGGCTTCCACTGGAATGGGGGAGAGAGGGGGAAGAGGGGCAGGCGCAAGAGCGGGGGAGGGGTGGGGGAACGGATGAGTGGAACAGGGGGGAAAAGGAAGAGGGGGAGCAGGGGCTGACAGACAGGAGAAATCGACAGTGAGATGACCGCTGGAATGGGAGGAAAGAGAGCAGGTGCAGGCGCAAGAGCAGGCAGAGAGGGGGCGAGGGGACGAGAGGAGAGCGGAAGAGTTACTAAAAGCTTAGCACGTGTGCATGTGAGGGAAGGAAGAGCGAGAGACAAAGCACGGAAAAAGCCTTACAAGTTGCCGCCGTGATAGCCGAGAGACTTGACCCCGTAGAATACGCCCACACGAGCTTATGTGTGTTTTCTTCTGTGCCTATGCGCTAGTGCGTGAAGGGAAAGGAGAGACTGAGAGCACGGAAAGAGCCTTACAAGTTGCCGCCGTGATAGCCAAGAGACTTGGACCCCGTGGAGTAGGCCCACACGAGCTTATTCTTCCCGCTCAGATTAATCTTCACCTCCCCGCCGTCGCTCTCGCGTCGCAGGAACTTCACAACGGTCGATCCGCCTTCGTTGCTCGTCCCCGCGTCCCCGCCAATGTCCATCCCGTTCTCCTTCACGGTGCTCATGCTGTAACCGGTAATGTGGTAACCAGCAACGTTCCCGCCGTCCATGTTGCCGATGACGGCTGTGCTCTCGGCCATGCCTCCGTTGGCGGACCATGCGACGGACATCCATCCCTTCGCCGCGCCGCTGCCGGATTTCGCCTCCATTGCCATATCCAGCTGCCCGTTGGTCGGTGCGGTCCAGTGCAGGACAAAACTGGCAAAAAATGAAACAGAAACAAAACAGGAACGAACAAAAAAAACATGTTAGAGTCAGCTCGCGTGAGGGGAGGGGATGACCAAGTATGAACAAGGCATAGAAAAGGATCCAACAACATTGAACAAATGTAAAGCGAGAAGAGCTTCTAGACACCAGGTGAGAAAAAGCTACTCTGAGCCCTTGAGAGTGCTTACTCTGAGCCCTTGAGAGTGCTTACTCTGAGCCCTTGAGAGTGCTTACTCTGAGCCCTTGAGAGTGCTTACTCTGAGCCCTTGAGAGTGCTTACTCTGAGCCCTTGAGAGTGCTTACTCTGAGCCCTTGAGAGTGCTTACTCTGAGCCCTTGAGAGTGCTTACTCTGAGCCCTTGAGAGTGCTTACTCTGAGCCCTTGAGAGTGCTTACTCTGAGCCCTTGAGTGGCGTGGAGTAGGTGTATCCAGCCAGGCTGGACGCGGGGCAGGCAGAACCGGAGGAGGCAGCAGTAGAGGAGGAAAACGAGGACGAGGAAGCAGATTGATCGGAGCTGCTACTGCCGCTGCTACTGCCGCTGTTACCGCCGCTGCTGCTGCCGCTGCTTTTCTTGCTGCTTCTGCCGCTGTCACCCCCTGAGCTTCCGCCTCCGGAGCCGCTGCTGCTGTCCGTGCTGCTGATGCTGCTGCTGCTGTCAGCGCTGCTGCTGCTGTCGGTGCTCTTAGTCGATGCAATCGAATCTGACGATTTGCCCGAAGAGGAATCGGGGGAAGAGGGCGAGGAGGAGGAGGAGGATGAAGGGGGAGGGGAGGGTTTGGCATAAGCAGTCCACCAGGGGGGGGAGGATTGATAGTCGTTGTAGGAGGGGGAAGAGGAGGAAGAGGGAGAAGAGGAAGAAGAGGAGTCGGAGGACGAAGGGGAGGAAGAGGAGGAAGAAGAGGAGTGAGAGGATGAAGAGGAGGATGACGAGGAAGAGGATGAGGGGGAGGAGGAGTCAGAGGGGGAGGAGGAAGAGGAAGAGGGGGAGGAGGAGTCCGAGGGGGAGGAGGAGGAGTCAGAGGGGGAGGAGGAAGAGGAAGAGGGGGAGGAGGAGGAGTCCGAGGGGGAGGAGGAGGAGTCAGAGGGGGAGGAGGACGAACCTGAAGGGGAAGAGGAGGAACCCGAGGGGGAAGAGGAGGACGAAGAGGTGTAGGCGTCCCACCAGTTAGATGAGGAGTCGGAAGAGGAGGAAGAGGAGGAAGAGGAGGAAGAAGAGGGGGAAGAGGAGGAAGAGGAAGAAGAGGAGGATGAGGATGAAGAGGAGGAGGGGGAGGATGGGGACGAAGAGGCGGGAGGATTGTCATGGGGCGGGCTAGAAGGGGGGGATTTGGCGGGTGGGGGGCTGGCTGGGGGAGACTTTGGCGGGCTGGAAGAACCGCTGCTTCCGCCGCTTCCGCTTCCGCTTCCACTTCCGCTATCGCTGCCAGAGCCGCTGCTTCCGCCTCCGCCGCCGCCGTTGCAGGAGAAATCGATTTCGCCGGCGCCACTGGTTCGGAGAGATAGGGAATATGTGGAAGAGTGATGAATAAGAGCAGCAGATTATTTAGTCGACTCAAAAGGCGCCACTGGTTTGGAGAGAATAGGGAATATGTGGAGTTGAATTTTGAAAGAAGAGTGATTAATAAGAGCAGCAGGAGAATAGAGCTGGGTCTTGAGTTCGTTCCGTGATTACAGGGCCAAAGATAAAAACACTTCCCAAATTAAATTGCCGACGTAGGATTATCGTTCTTACTCTTTCGGAATTGGGCTAGTTATGCATGAAAACCATATACACGGCTTGGGGAAGGAGATTACAGGTTGCTGCCGTGATAGCCGAGTGTCGTAGAGCCGCCAGATGACGTCGCCCAGATGAGCTTGTTCTTCCCGGACGACTTGAATGCGACAGATCCGCCGTCGCCCTCCGATCGCGAGAATTTAATTATGATCTTGTCGCCGGATTTCGTCAGCCCTGCGCTGCCCAGTGACGGCTTGCCGCTCGGCTTGACGGAGCCCATGTCGTAGCCGGTGATACAGTACGCCTGGACGGCAGCGCCGCCGTCAGCATTGCCGATCACCGCATCTGACGGAGCCATGGTTCCGCTTGACGAAAATGCGACGGAAATCCATCCGGCGCTCGCGGGCGCTTCGACGGCCATGCTGACGGAACCGCCGGAAGCCGCGGGCGTCCAGTGGAGAACGAGGCCGTGCGACAGGGTGGCAGCGGATGCGAAGTCCGGCAGAGTTGACGGCTGGCAGTTAGCCACGCTGGCGGCACGAATGGCGGGCCGTGTATCGATTTTGATCATGGTGCTGAATTGCTCCAGGAAGAGCTTGTTGTCGCCGATGTCCAAGACGCGCGCGTGCGAGGTCGCCGCGAACGCTGCGACGAAGGCTGCGACGGTCAGCGAAAGGAGCGCCGAGTTGGCGCTCCCGAAAAAGAATGGCCGCATGGCTGTTTGCTTGTTAACAGAACGTTTCAATGGTCCTTAGAAGCTTCGAGCACAATATGAAGTGAATTTGGGTTGAGTTGAAGCTCCAATTTCAGAAACAGAGAAATGAGTTGTAGACTGAATTCAGAGACTAATAAATATGTCGGGAGATTTGGCGTCAGCGGATGTGTGAGTGAGATGAGAGCGATGGAATTTCGAATCGACCTGGCAAAAATCGAAGCGCGCGCGACTTGATATGGAGAGGCACGGCTCGCGTTCTGCGGAAACGCCAACGGAGCTGATCGTGTCATGCGAGTGCCTCTCTGATAGCTGACTGGCACGCGAAAATTAGTCAGTCGCATGACTATGCTGCCTGGCATTGATCGAAATTGCAGGTCTGCGACTCCGAGTCGGGGAACTGGGTCGTCGTCAGTTCACCATCGCGTGGGCGAGATTCTCTGGAAATCGCAGGCGTCAGCAACGCGCCAATAGCAAGCAGCGCCTCCAACCATCCCTGCCCCACACGACGCCTGCGCAGCTGCACCTGCGATACGATCAGAGAGAAGCACGGAAGAAGGTTCGTATGGTTTGTACTCGACACAAGGGACTTTCAAAACTCTTTGGCTCATATTACCACAATCGGCTTCATTCCCATGTATAGGCAGTATTCAATCACTACAGGTCTGACTCTGCACACCACCAGACTCCATTCCCCACAGAGGCCACAAGGACACCTTGTACCATGCATATGTATTTGTATATATCAGATATATGTATACATATTTGCGGAATGGCAAAACATCAATATTTTATTTGTACTCTCGGCACGCGAGTCGTACCCTATGCTCGAGAGCAAACCCTATTGTTTCGACCTTGCTGCCAACTTCAACCCCCCTCCCTCTCTGCCTTCCCCTTCCTCTTAGCTTCCAGGCTTGGCAAAATTTGTAATCAGCGAGCCCCAGCAGCAGCACGAGGGTGCCAACCACAACACACCCCCTCAGGGGCTAGGCCCCTCTTCCTCCGTCCCTTCCCCTCCAACCCATTCTTCCTTCCCTGCTGCCAACTTCACCCCCCCTCCTGCTTGCCCTCCTGCGTGCCCTCCTGCTCCGCCCGTGCCCCCTGGCTTAGCAAGGCTGTAAGCAGCTAGCCCCAGCAGCAGCACGAGGGTGCCAACCACAACACCCCCCCTCAGGGGCTGGGCTGAGCCTCCCTCCTCCCCCCTTCCTCCGTCCCTTCCCTTTCAACCTATTCTTCCTTCCCTGCCTGCTGCCAACTTCAACCCGCCTCCTGCCCCCCCTGCCCCTTCTCCCCCTGCCCCTGCTCCCCCTGGCTTGGCAAGGTTGTGAACAGCCACTCAGGGACTGCGGGTGAGCCTCCCTCCTCGCCTCTTCCTCCTCCCCCTACCGTCCACCCTAGTCTTCCTTCCCAGCTGCCAACTTCAACCCCCCTCCCCCTCCCGCACCCGTGCTCCCTGGCTTGGCGAGGTTGTAAGCAGCAAGCCCCAGCAGCAGCACGAGGGTTCCAATAATAACTCCCCCTCTCAGGGGCTGGGGTGGGCCCAGCAGGGGCAGGGGGAAGGTGAAGGCTAGCACTGTCAGGGGGACTGGGGGAGCGGGAAGGAGGAAGAATACGGAGGAAAGATCGCAAAGGTGTTAGCAGCTACCCCAGCAGCAGTGGCGTGCATGTGTGCATGTGTGCATGTGTGCATGTGTGCATGTGCATGTGCATGTGTGCATGTGGGCATGTGTGCATGTGTGCATGTGTGCACGTGTGCATGTGTGCATGTGCATGTGCATGTGTGCATGAGTGCATGTATGCAGGTGCGTGTGCATGAGTGCATGAGTGCATGAGTGCATGAGTGCATGAGTGCATGTGTGCATGAGTGCATGAGTGCATGAGTGCATGAGTGCATGAGTGCATGAGTGCATGAGTGCATGAGTGCATGAGTGCATGTGTGCATGAGTGCATGAGTGCATGAGTGCATGAGTGCATGAGTGCATGAGTGCATGTGTGCATGAGTGCATGAGTGCATGAGTGCATGAGTGCATGAGTGCATGAGTGCATGAGTGCATGAGTGCATCAGTGCATGTATGCAGGTGCGTGTGCATGTGTGTGCATGCAGCTCGTTTCAATACCTGTGAGGGTCGAAACGAGCAATCACTGCAATCACTGCAAACGACTTCTTGAGCCGCGCGAGCAGGGAGATATGAGTGAGAAAGTGTTTCATGTGTGCATTTCTTGCATTGCATTCCCTGTCACTCACTAGTGAGCAGAGCGAGCAGGGAGATACGAGTGAGCAGGTGTTCGTGTGTGCATGTGTGCATCTCTTGCATTGCATAGCATGCCCTCTCATTCAATAGTTACCTGTGAGGGTCATGGAGAGCGATGCAATCACTGCAGACGACTTCTTGAGCAGAGCGAGTAGAGAGATGTTGAAGGCTAGGTTGGCTGCCACGTAGAGCAGCGGGAGGAGTGGCGCTCCCTGACAGCCTGGATGCGTGGGGTGGAGGGGAGCATGGAACGGGGAAGAGCGGAAGAGGAAGGAATGCATTCAAGCAGAGCACGCTGAAGAGCAGGATGTTGAACGCTAGGTTGGTTTCCACATAGATCCGAGGGAGGAGAGGCGCACCCTGGCAGCTTGGAAACGTGGGGTACGGGCAAGCCTGGAGGCGAGGAGGTGACTTTGAATCGACTCAAAAGGTGCACCCTGGCAGCTTGGAAACGTGGGGTACGGGCAAGCCTGGAGGCGAGGAGGTGACTTTGAATCGACTCAAAAGGTGCACCCTGGCAGCTTGGAAACGTGGGGTACGGGCAAGCCTGGAGGCGAGGAGGTGACTTTGAATCGACTCAAAAGGTGCACCCTGGCAGCTTGGAAACGTGGGGTACGGGCAAGCCTGGAGGCGAGGAGGGGACTTTGAATCGACTCAAAAGGTGCACCCTGGCAGCTTGGAAACGTGGGGTACGGGCAAGCCTGGAGGCGAGGAGGTGACTTTGAATCGACTCAAAAGGTGCACCCTGGCAGCTTGGAAACGTGGGGTACGGGCAAGCCTGGAGGCGAGGAGGGGACTTTGAATCGACTCAAAAGGTGCACCCTGGCAGCTTGGAAACGTGGGGTACGGCCAAGCCTGGAGGCGAGGAGGTGACTTTGAATCGACTCAAAAGGTGCACCCTGGCAGCTTGGAAACGTGGGGTACGGGCAAGCCTGGAGGCGAGGAGGTGACTTTGAATCGACTCAAAAGGTGCACCCTGGCAGCTTGGAAACGTGGGGTACGGGCAAGCCTGGAGGCGAGGAGGTGACTTTGAATCGACTCAAAAGGTGCACCCTGGCAGCTTGGAAACGTGGGGTACGGGCAAGCCTGGAGGCGAGGAGGTGACTTTGAATCGACTCAAAAGTTGCACCCTGGCAGCTTGGAAACGTGGGGTACGGGCAAGCCTGGAGGCGAGGAGGTGACTTTGAATCGACTCAAAAGGTGCACCCTGGCAGCTTGGAAACGTGGGGTACGGGCAAGCCTGGAGGCGAGGAGGTGACTTTGAATCGACTCAAAAGGTGCACCCTGGCAGCTTGGAAACGTGGGGTACGGGCAAGCCTGGAGGCGAGGAGGTGACTTTGAATCGACTCAAAAGGTGCACCCTGGCAGCTTGGAAACGTGGGGTACGGGCAAGCCTGGAGGCGAGGAGGTGACTTTGAATCGACTCAAAAGGTGCACCCTGGCAGCTTGGAAACGTGGGGTACGGGCAAGCCTGGAGGCGAGGAGGTGACTTTGAATCGACTCAAAAGGTGCACCCTGGCAGCTTGGAAACGTGGGGTACGGGCAAGCCTGGAGGCGAGGAGGTGACTTTGAATCGACTCAAAAGGTGCACCCTGGCAGCTTGGAAACGTGGGGTACGGGCAAGCCTGGAGGCGAGGAGGTGACTTTGAATCGACTCAAAAGGTGCACCCTGGCAGCTTGGAAACGTGGGGTACGGGCAAGCCTGGAGGCGAGGAGGTGACTTTGAATCGACTCAAAAGGTGCACCCTGGCAGCTTGGAAACGTGGGGTACGGGCAAGCCTGGAGGCGAGGAGGGGACTTTGAATCGACTCAAAAGGTGCACCCTGGCAGCTTGGAAACGTGGGGTACGGGCAAGCCTGGAGGCGAGGAGGTGACTTTGAATCGACTCAAAAGGTGCACCCTGGCAGCTTGGAAACGTGGGGTACGGGCAAGCCTGGAGGCGAGGAGGGGACTTTGAATCGACTCAAAAGGTGCACCCTGGCAGCTTGGAAACGTGGGGTACGGGCAAGCCTGGAGGCGAGGAGGTGACTTTGAATCGACTCAAAAGGTGCACCCTGGCAGCTTGGAAACGTGGGGTACGGGCAAGCCTGGAGGCGAGGAGGTGACTTTGAATCGACTCAAAAGGTGCACCCTGGCAGCTTGGAAACGTGGGGTACGGGCAAGCCTGGAGGCGAGGAGGTGACTTTGAATCGACTCAAAAGGTGCACCCTGGCAGCTTGGAAACGTGGGGTACGGGCAAGCCTGGAGGCGAGGAGGTGACTTTGAATCGACTCAAAAGTTGCACCCTGGCAGCTTGGAAACGTGGGGTACGGGCAAGCCTGGAGGCGAGGAGGTGACTTTGAATCGACTCAAAAGGTGCACCCTGGCAGCTTGGAAACGTGGGGTACGGGCAAGCCTGGAGGCGAGGAGGTGACTTTGAATCGACTCAAAAGGTGCACCCTGGCAGCTTGGAAACGTGGGGTACGGGCAAGCCTGGAGGCGAGGAGGTGACTTTGAATCGACTCAAAAGGTGCACCCTGGCAGCTTGGAAACGTGGGGTACGGGCAAGCCTGGAGGCGAGGAGGTGACTTTGAATCGACTCAAAAGGTGCACCCTGGCAGCTTGGAAACGTGGGGTACGGGCAAGCCTGGAGGCGAGGAGGTGACTTTGAATCGACTCAAAAGGTGCACCCTGGCAGCTTGGAAACGTGGGGTACGGGCAAGCCTGGAGGCGAGGAGGTGACTTTGAATCGACTTTGAATCGAGGTTCCATTCAAAGTCACCTCCTCGCCTCCAGGCTTGCCCGTACCCCACGTTTCCAAGCTGCCAGGGTGCACCTTTTGAGTCGATTCAAAGTCACCTCCTCGCCTCCAGGCTTGCCCGTACCCCACGTTTCCAAGCTGCCAGGGTGCACCTTTTGAGTCGATTCAAAGTCCCCTCCTCGCCTCCAGGCTTGCCCGTACCCCACGTTTCCAAGCTGCCAGGGTGCACCTTTTTAGTCGATTCAAAGTCACCTCCTCGCCTCCAGGCTTGCCCGTACCCCACGTTTCCAAGCTGCCAGGGTGCACCTTTTGAGTCGATTCAAAGTCACCTCCTCGCCTCCAGGCTTGCCCGTACCCCACGTTTCCAAGCTGCCAGGGTGCACCTTTTGAGTCGATTCAAAGTCACCTCCTCGCCTCCAGGCTTGCCCGTACCCCACGTTTCCAAGCTGCCAGGGTGCACCTTTTGAGTCGATTCAAAGTCACCTCCTCGCCTCCAGGCTTGCCCGTACCCCACGTTTCCAAGCTGCCAGGGTGCACCTTTTGAGTCGATTCAAAGTCACCTCCTCGCCTCCAGGCTTGCCCGTACCCCACGTTTCCAAGCTGCCAGGGTGCACCTTTTGAGTCGATTCAAAGTCACCTCCTCGCCTCCAGGCTTGCCCGTACCCCACGTTTCCAAGCTGCCAGGGTGCACCTTTTGAGTCGATTCAAAGTCACCTCCTCGCCTCCAGGCTTGCCCGTACCCCACGTTTCCAAGCTGCCAGGGTGCACCTTTTGAGTCGATTCAAAGTCACCTCCTCGCCTCCAGGCTTGCCCGTACCCCACGTTTCCAAGCTGCCAGGGTGCACCTTTTGAGTCGATTCAAAGTCACCTCCTCGCCTCCAGGCTTGCCCGTACCCCACGTTTCCAAGCTGCCAGGGTGCAACTTTTGAGTCGATTCAAAGTCACCTCCTCGCCTCCAGGCTTGCCCGTACCCCACGTTTCCAAGCTGCCAGGGTGCACCTTTTGAGTCGATTCAAAGTCACCTCCTCGCCTCCAGGCTTGCCCGTACCCCACGTTTCCAAGCTGCCAGGGTGCACCTTTTGAGTCGATTCAAAGTCACCTCCTCGCCTCCAGGCTTGCCCGTACCCCACGTTTCCAAGCTGCCAGGGTGCACCTTTTGAGTCGATTCAAAGTCCCCTCCTCGCCTCCAGGCTTGCCCGTACCCCACGTTTCCAAGCTGCCAGGGTGCACCTTTTGAGTCGATTCAAAGTCACCTCCTCGCCTCCAGGCTTGCCCGTACCCCACGTTTCCAAGCTGCCAGGGTGCACCTTTTGAGTCGATTCAAAGTCACCTCCTCGCCTCCAGGCTTGCCCGTACCCCACGTTTCCAAGCTGCCAGGGTGCACCTTTTGAGTCGATTCAAAGTCACCTCCTCGCCTCCAGGCTTGCCCGTACCCCACGTTTCCAAGCTGCCAGGGTGCACCTTTTGAGTCGATTCAAAGTCACCTCCTCGCCTCCAGGCTTGCCCGTACCCCACGTTTCCAAGCTGCCAGGGTGCACCTTTTGAGTCGATTCAAAGTCACCTCCTCGCCTCCAGGCTTGCCCGTACCCCACGTTTCCAAGCTGCCAGGGTGCACCTTTTGAGTCGATTCAAAGTCACCTCCTCGCCTCCAGGCTTGCCCGTACCCCACGTTTCCAAGCTGCCAGGGTGCACCTTTTGAGTCGATTCAAAGTCACCTCCTCGCCTCCAGGCTTGCCCGTACCCCACGTTTCCAAGCTGCCAGGGTGCACCTTTTGAGTCGATTCAAAGTCACCTCCTCGCCTCCAGGCTTGCCCGTACCCCACGTTTCTCGAAAGGAGGAAGGAGGAATGGGAGGAGGGTAAGAATGGGGTTGACATTTGAGTCGACTCAAAAGTTGACTCAAAAGTTGACTCAAAAGTCAACTCGGAATGGGAGGAGGGTGAATATCAACTCCACCAGATGGAATGACATGTCGCTACCAGAGGGTATAAATTGATCTGGTGTCATGTGACGTCATGATGTGGCGTCATGGCATGATGTGGCACGACAGGACGAGGTATGTGGCTTGCATGCCATGGAATGATGTGGCGTGACGTAAGATGACGTGGCATGGCGTGACATGGCATGACGTGGCATGACGTGTCATGACGTGGCATCACATACACCACCAGTACCTTGTTACCACCACCACCGCAACCCCCACGATCACGAGGAAGCATCCCAGAATCTGCTGCGGCGAGTAGCGGCGGCCGAGGAAGACATAAGAGAGGGTGAGCTGCCACACCAGGAAGATCTGGTGGGGTTGGGGAGAGAGGAACACGGTGGTTGTGTGCGGTGCAGAGCGGCAGCGAGTAGTGGCGAGTGAGGAAGACATAAGAGAGGGTAAGCTGCCACACCAGGAAGACCTGCACGGGAAGGGGGAACACAGAGGTTGTGTGCGGTGCAGAGCGGCAGGGAGGATCGAGTAGACGAGATAAGAGAGGTTGAGGTGCCACACCAGGAAGACCTGCAGGGGTTAAGAGGAAGAGGGAAGAACAATGTCAAGGTTGTGTGCAGTGCAGAGCGGCAGAGAGGATCGAAGAGTGAAGGATAAGAGAGGGAGAGCTGCCATACCAGAAAGTCCTGAAGAGGTGGGGAGGGGGGAGAGGCGGTGGAAAGAGGTGGGGCCAAGGTGGGGCATGTGGGAAGGCGCATGTGGGCAGGAACACATGTGGGCAGGAACACATGTGGGCAGGAACACATGAGGGCAGGAACACATGAGGGCAGTTATACCTGTGAGAGCATTGGGATGAGGGCATGTAGGAAGGCGCAGGTCGCATAGATGCATGTGGGAAGGCGCATGAGGGAAGGGAAGGCACATGTGGGCAGGAGCACATGTGGGCAGGAACATGAGAAAGTTATACCTGTGAGAGCACTGGGATGAGGGCATGTAGGAAGGCGCAGGTCGCATAGATGCATGTGGGAAGGCGCATGAGGGAAGGGAAGGCACATGTGGGCAGGAGCACATGTGGGCAGGAACATGAGAAAGTTATACCTGTGAGAGCACTGGGATGAGGGCATGTAGGAAGGCGCAGGTCGCATAGATGCATGTGGGAAGGCGCATGAGGGAAGGGAAGGCACATGTGGGCAGGAGCACATGTGGGCAGGAACATGAGAAAGTTATACCTGTGAGAGCACTGGGATGAGGGCATGTAGGAAGGCGCAGGTCGCATAGATGCATGTGGGAAGGCGCATGAGGGAAGGGAAGGCACATGTGGGCAGGAGCACATGTGGGCAGGAACATGAGAAAGTTATACCTGTGAGAGCACTGGGATGAGGGCATGTAGGAAGGCGCAGGTCGCAAAGAGCTCTGAAGCGCCTCAAAGAGAGGGGCGCGAGAGGAAGGGGTGCGCAGGGAGGGCGGCAGCCCTCTAATCGACGCTCTGAGCGAGCGAGAACAGCTGCTTCACCATCGATCCATGCTAGGGTGGAGGGGAAAGAGAGAAAGGGAGGGGCAGAGGGACAAACAGACCTCCAATCTACGCTGCGGGTGAGCGAGAACAGCTGCTTCACCATCAATCGCCCCTACCCCATCTCCCGCTCCCTCTCCTCCTCCATCGCCTCCCCCTTCCACCCTTCCTCCAGCTGCTGCTCTTGCTGATACTGCTGCCCCATTGCTACTGCGCTGTCCCGTTGTTAACGGGATACTTCCACGTGGCAGTCCTGATCCGCTGCCGTAAGCGCGAATTGGGAGCCTCGATATAAGCTGACTCGGCTTGGAGTGGAGCGCAGCGGCTGGGCGGGCAATGGAGGAGGAGGCTCGAATCGCGGCGGGAATTGATTCTGCGCTGCTATTGGCGGACGGAAGCGCGATTTGCGGGTCACTGAACGACGAATCAGCGGTCGGCACGAGAGATGCTTCGCGACTAAAGACGGACGAGGCGCGCTCCTGTCGGGGTGACACGTGGCGGATGTGGTACGGCATGTGACTGCATCGAGAGGGGAGTCCGATTGTGGCTCTGGTTACCCCAGCTGGTCTTGGAGTTCCCGTGAAAACAGGAATGCCAGGACTGCGAATAGCAGACGCAGCGACCGCATGCGCCATGGGAAAACGTGACTAAGATTATTGTGACGGCCCCTGGACGACAATGGGGAACCCACAAGAAATTGAGTGATGGATTTCAAATTTGAGCAATTTCCAGTTAGTCGAAGATACGTAACAGGTTTGACAGAAACAACAACGGGATAAAAGCATATTGGATTGCGTTGTGCACTTTGCACATTCTTGCAACGATTCGCCTCGTGGCGCGGATGCGCAAGTGGTAGCCGACACCAACACCGAAAATAGACCTGCGGAAGAGTACCGAATTCGCGCAGTCGTCTGCCCGGGGGCACAAAACTAAACCCCGCGACAAGCAACTCGAAATAGATAAACCCTGACCGCTTGGGACTCATATATGAAACACCGGTGCACATTCGGATCGTTGGGTCGTTGGTAACACAGTTGAATTCCACGAGATTATAACAAACTAGAACAACAACCTGGAGGCGACAGAATTATTGAGAGACGATATATCACACTAGCCGGGGTGACAAGAGTAAAAACCCGTAAAACTCGTAAGACAGGCGAACAGGCTCTCTCGGGATTGGTTTGAGCAGCTTGAACGTTTGTCCAGTTTGCCCAGCGGTTGAGTGAATGTCGTCAGGTATAATGTTGCCTGCACGAATGTCTCAATACTTTTGTTCGTCTGTTACAGATAGTTGACGATAACGATGCCACGCGTGAATGACGTGTAGAGGCAGCCTTTTGGTGCTACTGCTCGCATTTGTGCCGTCCTTATACACCCTCATTCTCGATAGACTGGCATATGTTATACTGACCGAGACACTTAGTGTGACCGCACCGGACCCAAGAAGGTCCTATCACATGCGTTATAGTGACAATTTGACCCAGGGCGTTTAGTCAAGGTTTTTTACGTTCTAGAACGGTACTGTTGTTTTCAAAGCGGTTGGGGTGGTTATTCAACGTTAATGGTTTTTTACGGCCCAAGGCGTGTTTCAAACCCTCGTGCGACTTTGCCCGCAACCGAGTTATCTCACCAGCCCGCTACGTCCAAACACTGTAGCCAGTGCTTCCGCCGGTGAGATAGGTGAGAATGAGGGTGTAATCGGACGCCATGTATGAATGACCCATGTGACACCGATGCTTTCCAACATTCCGCTACTACCGTAATAAATGTTTCCCATTCCTAATGATTCTGTTTTGTGCATGTGAGATACCGTAAAAGCACTACACAATCCACAGCCGGTACTGTATTAGATGGACACTGTACATGTATGTGTCGGGAAAATTAGCAAGCTATCAACAGGATACGAGTAGGTACATACACAATGGGTGGGCCCATAATAGGTCACGCTTCAATCACCTTACCATCCCTCCTGTGAACCAACCGCCAATAAGATTCGGTCTCTAATCCACGAGCCCGCCTCTATTTGAAGTGGTAACTATATGAATGTAGCTAAAACGCTCCTAGACATTCAAGCTTGAAACCATGGGCCTTGCTATTACTATTTGAAGTGGTAACTGATTGCACGTGACTGTAGATGTGCCGTAACATTCAGACTCTCGACCTTGGGCTCGCCTCTATTGTTGACCATCACCACACACATGCCCCCATTGTTGACGTCCATTGCCCTGAATCTGGTGTGGGAACAGGGTAAGTTAGGAGGGAAACGAGGGCGGGGTAAAAGAAAGTGGGGGAATGGAAACGGTGAGGTAAGGGAATGAGGGAACAGAACCGGCAGGACACAAGAAGGGATTGAAATGGAGGGGAATGAGAGCAAGGAAGGGGTCTGGCAGGGAAAGAGGAGGGAGGAAAAGAAATGGAGGGGAATGAGAGCAAGGAAGGGGTCTGGCAGGGAAAGAGGAGGGAGGAAAAGAAATGGAGGGGAATGAGAGCAAGGAAGGGGTCTGGCAGGGAAAGAGGGGGGAGGAAAAGAAATGGAGGGGAATGAGAGCAAGGAAGGGGTCTGGCAGGGAAAGAGGAGGGAGGAAAAGAAATGGAGGGGAATGAGAGCAAGGAAGGGGTCTGGCAGGGAAAGAGGAGGGAGGAAAAGAAATGGAGGGGAATGAGAGCAAGGAAGGGGTCTGGCAGGGAAAGAGGAGGGAGGAAAAGAAATGGAGGGGAATGAGAGCAAGGAAGGGCTCTGGCAGGGAAAGAGTAGGGAGGAAAAGAAATGGAGGGGAATGAGAGCAAGGAAGGGGTCTGGCAGGGAAAGAGGAGGGAGCAAAAGAAATGGAGGGGAATGAGAGCAAGGAAAGGACAATCTTATGGGAAATGTAGGTACAACGATCTGGGATGAACGTTGAGGCACCTCAACGACACGTAGGCAGAACGATATGGGATGCAACGTGCTCAGAAGAGAAACCTATTGGGGTCTGGCAGGGAGACAGGAGGCACCTCAAACTCAACACACTCACCACCAGCCCTCCTGGGATCAACCAGAGTCCCGCCTTCTCCTATTCCAACAAAAAACTGATCAAGGCAGAGAACACGTTCCTGCAAATACTGATGTCACCTTACCCTCTTATGATGCGCCTCAAAGGTGGTTTCATGGGATCACTCAAAAGCCCCACCTTCCCTTTTTTCAACAACTAACAGATAAAGGCAGAGAACACGTTCCTGCAAATACTGATGTCACCTAACCTTCTTGGGCGTGATTCTGAACACTCTTACTTGTCAGGGCCCATGCCAAGGGCAGTGAACGGAAGCGCTCTCAGCAGGGACTTGTGCGTGACGACCAAGATTTGAGAGCGCTGCATGGGAGGGCGGGGAGCAGCAGTGACACGGGCAGCAGTGACAGTGGCAGGACCCTGAGAGTCACGAGTTTGCACGAGTGCAGAGAAGCGCTCTCAGCAGGGACATGTGTGTGACGACCAAGATTTGAGAGCCCTGCATGGGCGTAGGGAGGGGGGAGTTGGCAGCAGGCAGGGAGCAATGGCAGTAGGCGCTTGAGCACGCACGCATACTAATTAGAGGGTGTGAATGGCAGCACAGCAGAGCAGGACTAGGAGGGCAGGGAGCAGTGGCGGGGGCTGTGGCCGAGGCAGTGGCAGGGCCTTGTGAGCAGTGGCAGTGGCAGTGGCAGGGCCTTGTGAGCAATGGCAGTAGGCGCTTGAGCACGCACACATACTAATTAGAGGGTGTGAATGGCAGCACAGCAGAGCAGAGCAGGACTAGGAGGGCAGTGGCGGGGGCAGTGGCAGTGGCAGTGGCAGTGGCAGTGGCAGTGGCAGTGGCAGTGGCAGTGGCAGTGGCAGTGGCAGTGGCGGGGGCAGTGGCGGTGGCAGTGGCAGTGGCAGTGGCAGTGGCGGGGGCAGTGGCAGTGGCAGTGGCAGTGGCGGTGGCGGTGGCGGTGGCGGTGGCGGTGGCGGTGGCGGTGGCGGTGGCAGTGGCAGTGGCAGTGGCAGTGGCAGTGGCAGTGGCAGTGGCAGTGGCATCTCATGAGCGCTCTGTTGGTAAAACTCGCAGCAGGGCAGGGCTCACTCTCTCTGATCGTTATCGTACTTTTAACCGTAAGTTGCATGTTCAAAAGAGGAACATTTAGCTATTGTTGGCTTCGTCTCGTCTGCTCCAAGATTCCCTTGTTGGCATTAACTCCAACCCCCCTTCCCCTTGCAATACAGCCATGCTCATGACAACACATTTGTGAGTCGTGACCCCTGAAAAGCTGGTGTTTTGAGTCGACTCAATACATGCAACAAGGCCATGCTCATGACACATTTGTGACCCCTCAAAAGCTGGCATGGCGACATTGCGAGCAACACCAAAGGCCCCATTATCTTATCCTCCTCTTCCTCCTCCTTACATGCCTGTAAGGCTATCAATGATGCCAGCAGGCAGACCACCCAACTCCAACTTCACCATCCCACCTCTTTGGCAACATTGCGAGCAGCACCATAAACTCCAACTTCACCACCCCACCTCTTTGGCAACATTGCGAGCAGCACCATAAACTCCAACTTCACCATCCCACCTAAGCAGCCAGCCCCGGCAGCAGCACAAGGGCCTTCGAGATGACTTTTGAGTCGACTCAAAAGTCATATTGTAAGGCTATCAATGATGCCAGCAGGCAGACCACCCAACTACAACTTCACCATCCCACCTAAGCAGCCAGCCCCGGCAGCAGCACAATGGTCTTCTTGCCTAGTCCTCCTTCTCACCTGCCAATTTCAACCCCCCTCCCGTTCACCTGTCAATTGCAGCCCCAGCAGCAGCACGAGGGCTCCAACCACAACGTCCCCCCTCAGGGGCATGGGCTGAACCATCCTCCTACAGCCTCCCATCCCACCTAGTCCTCCTTCCCTGCTGCCAACTTCACCCCCCCTCCTGCTCCCCCTCCTGCTCTCCCTCCTGCTCCCCCTCCTGCTCCCCCTCCTGCTCCCCCTCCTGCTCCCCCAGGCGTGGCAAGGTTGTAACCAGCCAGCAGCAGCACTAGAGTCCCCACCACAACGCCCCCCCTCAGGGGCTGGAACTAAACCTTCCCCTTCCCCCTTTCCTCCTTCCCTTCCCCTCCCATCCCATCTAGTCTTCCTTTCCTGCTGCCAACTTCAACCCCTCTCCTGCTCCGCCTCTCCCTCCTCCCCCAGACGTGGCAAGGTTGTAAGCAGCCAGCCCCAGCAGCAGTACGAGGGTTCCCACCACAACACCCCCCCTCAGGGGCTGGGGGGGGGCTCGCAGGGGCAGGGGGAAGGTGAAGGCTAGCACTGTCAGGGGGACTGGGGGAGTGGGAGGAGGGAGAAAACGGAGGAGAGATCGCAAGGGTGTTCGCAGCTACCACCGCAGCAGTGGCGTGTATGTGTGCATGTGTATATGTGTGCATGTGTGCATGTGTGCATGTGTATATGTGCGCATGTGTGTATGTGCGCATGTGTGTATGTGCGCATGTGTGTATGTGCGCATGTGTGTATGTGCGCATGTGTGTATGTGCGCATGTGTGTATGTGCGCATGTGTGTATGTGCGCATGTGTGTATGTGCGCATGTGTGTATGTGCGCATGTGTGTATGTGCGCATGTGTGTATGTGCGCATGTGTGTATGTGCGCATGTGTGTATGTGCGCATGTGTGTATGTGCGCATGTGTGTATGTGCGCATGTGTGTATGTGTATGTGCGCATGTGTGCATGAGTGCATGTAGCTCACCACTCACCCACGAGGGTCATGCAGAGAGAGATGCCACCACTGCAGACGACTTCTTGAGCAGAATAAGCAGCGAGATATGAGCAAGCGCGCACATGTACGTCCCTTGCGTAGCATGCCCTCTCACTCACAACTCACCCACGAGGGTCATGGAGAGAGATGCGACTAATGCAGACGACTTCTTGAGCAGAGCAAGCAGAGAGATGTTGAACGCTAGATTGGCTGCCACGTAGAGCAGCGGGAGGAGCGGCGCACCCTGACAGCCTGGAATGGTGGGGTGGAGAGCGGTGAGAAGGGAAACAGGAGGACAGAAGATTGCAAGCAGAGCGAGCAGCGAGATGTTGGCTGCCACGTAGAGCAGCGGGAAGAGCGGGGCTCCCTGACAGCCTGGCGGCGAGAGAACAGGGCGGCAGAATGAAGAAGTGTGGGGGAACGGGAGGAGTAGAGACAGGAAGAGCCAGCAGCGAGATGTTGAATGCTATGTTCGCCACCACGTAGAGCAGCGGGAGGAGTGGCGCTCCTTGGCAGCCTGGAGGCGAGGGGGAAAGGGAAGAGAGAAGAGAGGAACGGGGAGGAGTGGATCAAGCAGTGGGAGGAAAGGAACTCCCTGAGAGCCTGGCAAGGTGGGGTGCGGTGGAAGGGGGAATGAGAGCAGAGGGAGGAACGGTAGGGTGGGGAGGAGGGAGGAACGGGGAGGAGCGGAAGAGGAAGAAGCAGAATTCGGAGATTCTGAACGCTGGGATCGTTGCGACGTAGAACAGCAGGAGGAGCGGGGCTCCCTGACAGCCTGCAGTGGTGGAGTGCGGTGGAAGGGGGAAAGGGAAGAGAGGAACAGGTAAAGCCAGCCGGGAGGTGTTGAACGCTAGGTTCGTTGCAACGTAGAACAGCAGGAGGAGCGGGGCTCCCTGACAGCCTGCAAAGGTGGAGTGCGGTGGAAGGGGGAAAGGGAAGAGAGGAACAGGTAAAGCCAGCCGGGAGGTGTTGAACGCTAGGTTCGTTGCAACGTAGAACAGCAGGAGGAGCGGGGCTCCCTGACAGCCTGCAAAGGTGGAGTGCGGTGGAAGGGGGAATGGGAAGAGAGGAACAGGTAAAGCCAGCCGGGAGTTGTTGAACGCTAGGTTCGTTGCAACGTAGAACAGCAGGAGGAGCGGGGCTCCCTGACAGCCTGCAAAGGTGGAGTGCGGTGGAAGGGGGAAAGGGAAGAGAGGAACATGTAAAGCCAGCCGGGAGGTGTTGAACGCTAGGTTCGTTGCAACGTAGAACAGCAGGAGGAGCGGGGCTCCCTGACAGCCTGCAAAGGTGGAGTGCGGTGGAAGGGGGAAAGGGAAGAGAGGAACAGGTAAAGCCAGCCGGGAGTTGTTGAACGCTAGGTTCGTTGCAACGTAGAACAGCAGGAGGAGCGGGGCTCCCTGACAGCCTGCAAAGGTGGAGTGCGGTGGAAGGGGGAAAGGGAAGAGAGGAACAGGTAAAGCCAGCCGGGAGTTGTTGAACGCTAGGTTCGTTGCAACGTAGAACAGCAGGAGGAGCGGGGCTCCCTGACAGCCTGCAAAGGTGGAGTGCGGTGGAAGGGGGAAAGGGAAGAGAGGAATGGGAAGGAGTGAATTCAAGTGGAGCCAGCAGCGAGATCACTGTTGGGGAGAAGGCGGAGGTGGAGGAACAAGAAGAGCAGCTTGCAAAGCAAGTCTCCGAAGGACTTCCCAAAAGAAAGTGCTTTATCGCTACGCGATAAAGCAAGTTGCATCGGAGGGATGTTGAACGCTCGAGTGGGAAACTAATGGCAGTTGATGATGTGAATAATAGCTGCGATCCATTCACGTCTACCGACGGCGCACCTGGTACGGCCTGGTTGAAGTTGAGAAGGCACGCGGCACCTTCCCGGAAGTAGCCTGGAAGCTGCGCAGGAGGGATTCTGTATCCCAGAGAGGAGATGAGCGGCAGCAAGATGAGGATTAAAAGCGCCTGTGGTGGTGGGAGGGGCGGCAGAAGAGTGGGTGAGCTGTTGAGTCGACTCAAAAGACACCTGGGTCAGCTCCTCTCTGGGCCACAATGGTGTATACCCCAGAGAGGAAATGAGCGGCAGGGGGATGAGGATGAAAAGCGCCTGTACTTAGAATGAGGATGTGGGGGATTCAGATTCTGAGAAGTCTAATAAATAGAGAGAGGGGTGAAATCTGAGTCGACTCAGGAGTTGCCTTGTAAAAAATCGAAATGGTGTTGCCAAGCACGGAAAACAGCAGTTTAATAGAAAAAAATCAGCAGTCTAAAAAAAAAAAAAAAAAAACAGTTTATACTTTTGCCAGTCGAGCAGGGCACAAAAGAAACAGTAGAATGATGAAGTGCCTCAAGAATCGCCCCAAATGAGGAGACCCGTGGCGTGGATCAGTAGGAGAAGATGAGGGGAAGGAGATGGGGAAACGGGTATGAGAGCTGGAAGACGCATGTCTGTTGGAAAAGCATTGTGTAGTACGAGAGGAGGGTAGGGAGAAAGAAGATGGAAGGAAAAGAGAGTATGGGGGGAAATGAAAGGGAGAATCTGGGAATAGAGGGTCAAAAGGGAGAGCACCTGGAAGGCTGATCCGAAGGTGTTGACAACAAAGATGTCCAACGAGCGACCCTGAGGTGTGGTGTGGAGTGGTGTGGTGTGGTGTGGTGTGGTGTGGTGTGGTGGGGTGGGGTGTGGTGTGGTGTGGCGTGGTGGGGCAGGATGAGAAGGCTTGGCATGGAACGAATGAGATGTGACAATCAATATGCGCATCCACATTGCAAATGCATGCACATGCGGACGTGTGAAATGTGAAATGTGACATGTGATATGTGATATGGAACACGAATGGTTCACATTTACAGCGGTGGGCTGCTTGTGTGTCAGCATAGAGGTCCAGTTCTGTGACCACTCAGGCCCAACCCCCGGCGAGGGTTTTTGAGTTTTTTTTTCTCTCTCTCAATCTAAAAAAAAATGGCATGTCGGTTTAGAGGCCAAGTCCTGTGACCGCTCAGGCCCAGCCCCCTTGCTTGATCTTTTCCATGCCTCACAAAAAGGCTGGGATATGAAACTAGGGATGTGGTGGTAAGGCTTACGTTGAGCTTCTTGGCTGAATCTCGGAAGACAGACTCCTGTCGATCAGAGAAAACAAGGCGGAAAAAAATCGAAGGGAATAAAATGGGGAAGACGAGCAGAAGAGGGGAAGACGAGCAGACACGGAATAAAGTTGTGCTGTGTAAATGATTTCTTGGTTAACTCAAGGGTTGCCCTAAAACAAAAACTGCTGCAAATGAATATGCTAGCGAGGATGCTGTTGGGGGGAGAAACTAGTTGGGGTGCGATGAAAAAGGCTTTTTCTCAGATAAGAATAGTTGAGATAGAAACAAAAGGCTTGAATAATAGAGGAAAGGCGCAATGGACTCGCAGCGGGGAAAGAATCTCACCTTAAGAATCTCACCTCACCTTAAGCATCTCACCTTAAGAACAGAGGATGCTGCTGGAAGCACAGTGGACAATAGGAAGAGGAGGGGCCACTGGATTGCTGTTGCTGCTAGCAGAGAAGCTAATAGCGTGGATACCATATGCAATGGCGGTCCACTGCGGTGCAGTGCGGTGGAAATGGGATTGGAGCGGGAGGGGAAGCGGGGCAAGGCAAGTGAGAGGGAAGGGTCGGAAGAAGTTGGGTTGGGGGGAGGAAGGAAGAATGGGAGGAGGGTGAGTATCCATTCCCCCAGAAGAATGGTAGTCATGCCATGGTAATAGTCGTATACTGGTCGTACTACTTAGGACTATTACTAAGGGGTACCATGACTATTACTAATGGGTACCATGACTATTACTAAGGGGTACCATGACTATTACTAAGGGGTACCATGACTATTACTAAGGGGTACCATGACTATTACCACTGGACATGGTAGTCATGCCATGGTATGTACGGACATCGAGGCATGATGTGGCACGACAGGACGAGGGATGTGCCATGCATACCGTGGCATGATGTGGCATGATGTGGCATGATGTGGCATGATGTGGCATGATGTGGCATGATGTGTCATGATGTGGCATGATGTGGCATGATGTGGCATGACGTAAGACGACGTGGCATGACGTGGCATGGCATGTCACCACATGGTCTGCAGTACCTTGTGAGCACCACCACCGCAACCCCCACAATCACGAGGAAGCATCCCAGAAGCTGCTGTAGCGAGTAGCGGCGACCGAGGAAGACATAAGAGAAGGTGAGCTGCCACACCAGGAAGACCTGAAGGAGTTGTGTGCGGTGCAGAACGGGAGAGATGGTTGAAGAAAGAAGTGAGAGAGATAAGCGAGGGTGACCTGCCACACCAGGAAGACCTGCAGGGCGAAGAACGGGAACACAGAGGTTGTGTGCGGTGCAGAACGGCAGCGAGGAGGAAGGGCGTACCTTTGAGAGCACTGGGATGAGGGGGGGCAGAGGGGGGGCAGCGGGGGTGCAGCGGGGGGGCAGAGGGGGGGCAGAGGGGGGGCAGAGGGGGGGCAGCGGGGGGGCAGAGGGGGGGCAGCGGGGGGGCAGAGGGGGGGCAGAGGGGGGGCAGAGGGGGGGCAGAGGGGGGGCAGAGGGGGGGCAGAGGGGGGGCAGAGGGGGGGGCAGAGGGGGGGCAGCGGGGGGGCAGAGGGGGGGGCAGAGGGGGGGCAGCGGGGGGGCAGCGGGGGGGGCAGAGGGGGGGCAGAGGGGGGGCAGAGGGGGGGCAGAGGGGGGGCAGAGGGGGGGGCAGCGGGGGGGCAGAGGGGGGGCAGAAGGGGGGCAGCGGGGGGGCAGAGGGGGGGCAGAGAGGGGGGCAGAGGGGGGGCAGCGGGGGGGGCAGAGGGGGGGGCAGAGGGGGGGCAGAGGGGGGGCAGAGGGGGGGCAGAGGGGGGGCAGCGGGGGGGCAGAGGGGGGGCAGAGGGGGGGCAGAGGGGGGGCAGCAGGAAGGGCACGGGAGCAGAGGGTAAGGATAGCGGAGCAGAGGGGATGATGTTCGCACCTCGTGCAGAGTCACTATTAAGAATTCTCAAAAGTGACTCCCATATATGTTCGCACCTCATGCTAAGGGAGCAGCAGCCGGGGTGAGAAGATAAGGAGATTGGGGTGGAGGCAGTGTCATTTGAACTCACCAGCAGCAATTATGCCCAATGCGAGTCCTGCTCCTTCTAGCAGCCCCATGAGCATGAAGGGGCTCTTGGGCAGCGAGAGCATGTCGGGTGTGACTATATTGAGGGAGGTGCGCGCGAGGAGGATGATGGAATAGACGGCCACGTAGCTGGGAGGGGATGTGGGGGAAACAGCACGGAGAGGAGGTTAAAGAGGGGCAAACAGATCATTAAAGAGGGGCAAACAGATCATGTCAGGTGGGCAAACAGACCATGTCAGGTGTGCGAGGAGGATAATGGAATAGACTGCCACGTAGCTGGAAGGGGGAATGGGGGGAGAGGGACCGGAGTGGGGGGAGAGCGGGGAGAGGGGGGAGAACGGGGAGAGGGGGGAGAGCGGGGAGAGGGGGGAGAGCAGGGAGAGGGGGGAGAGCAGGGAGAGGGGGCAGAGCGGGGAGAGGGGGGAGAGCGGGGAGAGGGGGGAGAGCGGGGAGAGGGGGGAGAGCAGGGAGAGGGGAGCGGGCAGAGGCGGCTTCTTGAGAACTGGTGCCGAGGGGCGGATGCGGAAACGGTAAAGGGAAATGAGAAAAGGGGCAAGGGAGGTACGGACGAGAAGGAAAGGGGGGGAGCAGGGCTGCGAGACGAGGGAGCATGTCGGGTGTGACTATATCGAGGGAGCAGTGACTTTTTCGAGGGAGCATGTAGGGTGTGACCATATCGAGGGAGCAGCAGACGAGGAGGATGAGGAGACTCACCCGAATGTGGTGAGCTGCGAGAGGAAGAAGGGGTAGCGGCACAAGGGGTGTTTAGGAGTGATGGGTTATGGAAAGCGCTTAGAAGCGGTTAGATTTACCCGAATGTGGTGAGCTGCGAGAGGAAGAAGGGGTAGCGGCACATCGGAATGACGGCGAGATTGTAGAGCACTCGGTTCGCCACTCCCAGAGATACTGTCAGCAGTGCCAATAGCAGCAGCTGGGAAAGTGAGAGGAGCAAGATATGAGCGTGGGGGTGAAGTGAGGGAGAGGAAGACGTGGGGGTCAGATTGTAGAGCACTCGGTTGGCCACTCCCAGAGACACTGTCAGCAGCGCTGCTAGCAGCAGCTGGTGGGGTTACAGTGAGCAAGAAAAGGAGATAAGCGAGGATGGGTGGGGAGTGAGGGCGAGATTGTAGCGCACTCGGTTGGCCACTCCCAGAGATACTGTCAACAGCGCTGCTAGCAGCAGCTGGTGGATGGAAGAGGGGTAACGCATGGGAAAGAAGCAGGACAGGGGTGTATGGGTGAAGGGAGACACGGAGTCAAGAGGGGGTAAGCTTGTAGAGCACTCGGTTGGCCACTCCCAGGCTCACTGTTCAACCGAGCCTCTGAAGAGCCTCAAAAAGGGGGAGCGAGAGGAGGGGGTGTGAAGAGAGGGGGACAGACCTCTAATCGACGCTGCGGGTGAGCGAGAACAGCTGCTTCACCATCAATCTCCCCCACCCCATCTGCCGCTCCCTCTCCTCCTCCTTCTCCTCCCCCGTCCACCCTTCCGCCGGCTGCTGCTCTTGCTGATACTCCTGCCCCAATGTTACTGTGCTGTCCCGTTGTTAATGAGATCCTTCCACGTGGCAGCCCTGATTCGCTGCCGTAAGCGCGATTTGGGATCCTCGATATAAGCTGACTCGGCTTGGAGTGGAGTGCAGCGGCTGGGCGGCAAATGGAGGAGGAGGCTCGAAACGCGGCGGGAATAGATGCTTCTGCGCTGCTTTTGGCGGACGGAAGCGCGATTACCGGGTCACTGAACGACGAAACAAAAGTCGTCGCGAGATCTGCTTCGCGGCTACTAATGGCGGACGAGGCGCGCCCTTGTCGGAGGGACACGCGGCGGATTTGGTACGACATGTGACTGCATCGAGAGTGGAGTCGGATTGTGACTCTCGTTACCCCAGCTGGCCTTGGAGTTCCCGTGAAAACAGGAATGCCAGGACTGCGACTAGCAGAAGCAACGACCGCATGCGCCATGGGAAAACGTAACTACAATGGTCGTGAGGGCCTCTGGTCGAATTTGGAGAAGCCACAAATACCAATACAGTTAGTACTCAAATTCGAAGGCAGCAGTTTCAGAGGGGGCAATTTTCCTGCTAGACGAGATCGAAATGACATTGTTTCGCATTGAGTATCTGGTTATATGATGCATTCTGTACAGTAATGTGTTGTGAGGTTGCGTAATGTGTCTGCCGCGATTTGCCTGGTCGCCGGCGCGGAAGCGCACGTGTTAGCCGACACCCACACCGAAAATGGACCTGCGGAAATGAGCACCGAATTCCCGCAGTCATCTGCCCGCGGGCACAAAACTAACTCCTCTTCCATATGATAATTGACTCAAATAGGTTAAACCCTGAACGCCTGGTCCCCGCTTGTTAGTTAATGTATCCCATAACCAGTCACCCCACTTTTACATCCCTGATTATGATGCTTTCTCCACACCGATTTGTTCGTAACGCGTCCTTATCAGAAGTGTTTTGTGGGAAGGAATGCAAAACTTTAGTTCGGAACAATAGAATGCCTAGCCACCCTAGGTCGTGGTGACGGCTCGTAATAAAACAAGGATGCCCGAGGGACTGTACGTGTCTCCCAACGCTAGCGGACATTTGGATCGTAGTGTGCAGCTAATTTTCACGAGAATACTTTAGGCCAGAACAACAAGCTGGACGCGACAGAAGTAGATCTCGAAGAGATATCGCGAGATAAAATGCGTCTAAAATAGCAAATACCCGTAACACAACGTGACAGGCGAATAGGCTCTTGGGATTGGTTAGAGAAGGTTTAGTGTTTGCGCTGAGTGTCGTAACGATTGTCGTTGCTGCCTGAGCGAAACTCGCAATACTTGTTTCATCTGTTACAGATTGTTGACGACGACTTGCTACGCAAGAATGACGTGTACAGGCATCCTTTTGACCGACCCCACGTCAGAAGCTCATTTCATTCGCGAATTGTACTGTCCCTATAATCGGACGACATGTATGACTCAGGTGACAACACCTCATTCAAACATCCCGCTGTTACTAGTTATCTTCCATTTATGATAAGTCTGTTATTTGCAGGTACCGTATGTTTAGAGCACTACACAATCCACAGCCAGTACCTCAATACATGGACAATGTACATGTATAAGTGTTAGGGAAATTAGCAGGCCATCATGAGGATACGAGTTCGTAGATGAACATCGTGTGGGCCCACATTGGGTTAGGTTGCCATCTCACCATAACTCTTGTTGCAACCTCTACGGTTTGAAGTGGTAACTGATTGCATGTGACTGTAGATGCGCCGTGACATTCAGACTCTCAACCATGGGCTCGCCTTTGTTGTTGACCATCATCACACACATACCCCCATTGTTGACATCCATTGCTCTGAACCTGGCATGAGAGCAGTGAAATAAGAGCGGGGTAACAAAGAGCCAGGAGGAATGGTGGCAAGGAAATTAAAACAGCATGACAGGAGAAAACAATGAAGTAAAGAGGAATGAGCGAAGAAAGGGGTATAACAACGGGAGAGAACGGGGAAGACAGTGTGGTGCATACTATGAGTCTATGAGATAACTAGATGGAACGGTCTGGGATGCAAAATTACTTGTGACACCCGCAATCCCAAAGATTTTACGCACCCCCCCCTAACCCTCCTCAACTCCCTCAACCTGCTGATTTTAAAGTTTCTTACTTGTCAGGGCCCAATCCAAGAGCAGTGCAGAGCAGCGCTCTCAGCAGGGACTTGTGTGTGACGACCAGGATTTGAGATCCCTGAGTGGGAGGAGGGCAGGGAGCAGCAATATACGGGCAGGGCCTTGCCAGTCATGAGCTTGTGGAAGCGCAGAGCAGCGCTCACAGCAGGGACTCGTGTGTGACAACGGGGAATTGAGAGCCCTGCGTGGTGAATTTGTTTTCTGAGAATTCTAAAAAACACACGCAGCAGGGACTGGTGTGTGACAACGGGGAATTGAGAGCCCTGCGTGGGAGAACCCCTGTCACTCACTAGAGTCACACTCACAGGGCTCTGTAGCAGCTCTCGCCACGTGTCTCTGGCCTGGTCCCACAGCTGGTGCACCGGAAACAGCCCAACCCCATTAGAAAAGAAACTCACTCAGCATAATACCATTTGATACTGTACTATTCGCTATAGTCACACTCACAGGGCTCTCTAGCAGCCCTGTGTCCCAAGCCTGGTCCACAGCTGGTGCACCAGATACACCCCATCTCTATTAGAACAGAGACTTACTCAGTATAGCTCCATTCGTAATACCACTGCTCGCCAAAGTCACACACTCACTGGGCTTTCTAGCAGCTCTCGCCACGTGTCTCTGGCCTGGTCCCACAGCTGGTGCACCGAAAACACTCCATCCACATTACAGCAGAAAATTACTCAGTATAATACGACTCGATATGGTACCACTCGCTACAGTCACACTCACAGGGCTTTCAAGCAACTCTCGCCACGTGTCTCTCGCCTGGTCCCACAACTGGTGCACCGGAAACATCTCAACCCCATTAACAAAGAGACTTACTCAGAATAATCCCATTTGTTCTAGTACTGTTCTCTACAGTCACACTCACAGGGCTCTCTAGCAGCTCTCGCCACGTGTCCCTGGCCTGATCCCACAGCTGGTGCACCGGAAACACCCCATCCACACAGAAATTCGCCGGATCTTCCCGCCAGGCTCGGAACAGGTCCGGATACAGCCGCTTAGCTTCGGCTGGGAGTTCGGCAGCAGCAGAGAAGAGGAATCAGGGGCAGTGGGAGAGAAGCAACGGGAATAAGAGTGCTGGAAAAGACGAGAACAATAAAGCAGGAAAGTAACACAGGAAGTGCAGGTAGGCCTCCCACACAAAGCTAGCTCGTTACAGTCACAATCTCTACCCCCCTTACAAGCCCTGCCCTGCCACTCACAGTTGAGCATCCCCTCCAGGAAGTGCAGGTGGGCCTCGCTCAGAGAGTCACTCGTTACCAGCCACACGTTCCTTTGCATCTAGACCCTGTTGTACTTACTCACAGTTGAGCATGCCTTCAAGGAAGTGCAGGTGGGCCTCGCTCAGAGAGTCCAGAAAGACGAGGGGCTCCTTGCGCCCCTCCCAGATGATCTCCGCGCTCCTCTGATGGTGGGAGAGAACGGGGGGTAGCGGGGAGTGGGGGAGGCGGGAGAGACGATGGGAGAGGGTGAAGTATGAGAGGCAAACTCCAGAAACACAAGGGGCTCCTTGCGCCTCTCCCAAATGATCTCAGCGCTGCTCTGATGAGAGGGGGAAACGTGGGGTGGAACTGGGGGTAGCGGGGAGTGGTTGGTGGGAAGAGGCAAACTCCAGAAACACGAGAGGCTCCTTGCGCCCCTCCCAGATGATCTCCGCGCTGCTCTGATGGTGGGAGAAGAACACAGAGAGGAGAATGTGGGGAGGAATGTGAGGAATGGGGGGAGAGGAGAATGTGGGGAGGAATGTGAGGAATGGGGGGAGAGGAGAATGTGGGGAGGAATGTGAGGAATGGGGGGAGAGGAGAATGTGGGGAGGAATGTGAGGAATGGGGGGAGAGGAGAATGTGGGGAGGAATGTGAGGAATGGGGGGAGAGGAGATTGTGGGGAGGAATGTGAGGAATGGGGGGAGAGGAGAATGTGGGGAGGAATGTGAGGAATGGGGGGAGAGGAGATTGTGGGGAGGAATGTGAGGAATGGGGGGAGAGGAGAATGTGGGGAGGAATGTGAGGAATGGGGGGAGAGGAGAATGTGGGGAGGAATGTGAGGAATGGGGGGAGAGGAGAATGTGGGGAGGAATGTGAGGAATGGGGGGAGAGGAGAATGTGGGGAGGAATGTGAGGAATGGGGGGAGAGGAGATTGTGGGGAGGAATGTGAGGAATGGGGGGAGAGGAGAATGTGGGGAGGAATGTGAGGAATGGGGGGAGAGGAGAATGTGGGGAGGAATGTGAGGAATGGGGGGAGAGGAGAATGTGGGGAGGAATGTGAGGAATGGGGGGAGAGGAGAATGTGGGGAGGAATGTGAGGAATGGGGGGAGAGGAGATTGTGGGGAGGAATGTGAGGAATGGGGGGAGAGGAGAATGTGGGGAGGAATGTGAGGAATGGGGGGAGAGGAGATTGTGGGGAGGAATGTGAGGAATGGGGGGAGAGGAGAATGTGGGGAGGAATGTGAGGAATGGGGGGAGAGGAGAATGTGGGGAGGAATGTGAGGAATGGGGGGAGAGGAGAATGTGGGGAGGAATGTGAGGAAT